ATTACAAAATTTCGAACAATATTTGGCAAGCTTGATTGAAAATATTCTTTGAGCTTTGTATTTATTTGGACTTTCATCGCAAATATAAAGACTCCGGGAGCATTGTTCTACTTTTAATAAACAACTATTTATTGTAAGTCCAAAAAGTTAACATGTTAAATATGTTGACCTCTTCGAACTTACAAAAAAAAAAAAATCGGGGTGACAGTGATGACGAATCACGTGTTTTTAAAAGTGTAAAGCATGTAGGGGGAATATACTAGCTTTTACCAAATCATTTTAATTTTATTGAGGGTATTATTGAGTGACTATTGTGTAAGATCTTATAGTGAGATCAATTCCAAATTTATGCGAATATCGCTTAAAAATTGTTTTCATATTAATAATTTTTCCGTAAAAATAGGGAAACACGCAGTATGGATAAATTTATGATTTAGTTTACGCTTTATATAATATTTATTAATCTTAAAATTTATTTTTTTTTTATATTATAAATTCAATAGCACATAACACTTGAATCTCTATATTCGAGTATATACTCATTTGAACAAATAATCGAAGGGTATCCATTAAATATTTACCACTCCATTTGTAACGATAAGAACCAACAACAGAGTCATCCATTTTTCCCGGCAATAACTTGAAAACTCCTATAGCTAGACTAACTGATTTTTCACCAAGCAAAAAAAATTGCTGCCGTGATCTAGTTCAGCAACTTGTAAGGCGCAGAGGAGCATAACTCCGCTACCGTGAGAGCAATATCCCGCAGTATTTCCCTTCTCCAGCGAGCGGGAAGAAGATGTACTAAGGTCCTTTCATCTTCTACAAAAAATTTACCATCCCAGCCCACTATGGCGCCTCGTAAGTCTCCGTTAACCCGACACGACCTCAGTGAGAATTCTCGCCTGATTCTTTCCCATCCCTATAATTTTCTTAAATCACTTCTGGCCATAGTTTCCCAGAAGCTATTTAAACTGCCACAGCTCCGGAAAATTTCTCCAACAGAGCAGTCGCGCCCTGTCTGATTTCTTGCTTAGTTTCCAAAAATAGTATGTGATTCGATCATGCAGTACGTATCCTCCTTGTCTCATTTCCTTTTACGCCCACATAGCCTGGCACCTAGTACAAGATGATTCGATTGCACCAATCCAGTGCATTGATTTTCTCAAGACATCGTCATACTACCGCGGGGGATGTTTAAAATTAACTCCATTGTTGTTATAAGATTTGGTTTTTTAAACAACCTTCCACAATAATCGGTCAACTCTATTTCTTTATTTGTTTTTTAAACAAATAAAGAAATAAAACAACATTTAAAATTTTTAAATTAATTCTTATAGTAGAAATTCTTGGTGATTCTTTCTACTTTGAAAACCAAAACTAAAATGATTCAAATTTTTGTTTGTTGTTGCAGATTTTTATTGAAAATACCATGCGTACACATTCAATCAGATTCTCTGGAATATATTATTTAATATTACCCGGTATAAAAAATAATAAGTAGATATTTGTCGACTCACTTTGGTTAATTTAAATATGAAGCTTTGCCTGGTGAACACTAGCTTTAATATTCAAATTACTATTTATAAGAACACTAGCTGATAATTTATTCAAATTACTTAATAAGGGTTTGTCTCGTGAACGAAGCATGCACGATTTTAAATGTGAGAGTTCTTTTACGCATAGGTTAGCAAACATTTGTATTTTTGCCTATTTAACCAACCTAATCAATTTAATTAATATTTTAGCTATAGGTTTTCTTAAGCATTATATCAGTACAATTTTGTAGGCAAACTTGCGCTGTATAAATAAATGCTGTGAAATAATGTATAAGTTATCAACAATACAGGCAAATTTTTAACACGACTACTGATCGTCAGGGACAAATCATCTCTGCACTGTTTTCTTTCATAGAATCATCATACTATCAAACTATCGAAAATATATTGTGTAACATGTATCAAGTTGCTGTTTTGATTTTATTCCCTAATCTTTTCTATCTTAATTAATTTGAAACTAAAAAATTTTCTAGGAAGTATAAGTAATAAGAAGAACCTCTTACAAAAAAGTATAACTACATTTTTCTTGATAATTAAGCAACCTACTAGTATATACCCAATTTTAAATAAGTTAGTGTTGTACAAACTAGATATTTAAAAATACTTTAGGTATAGTAATATAAACACATTCAGTGAAACTTATATTGTAGTATTCAGAAAACAATAATGGGGCAATGGTAGATTCTAAACAAAACCTTAATCTAATCAATTTAGGAAGCTTAAAATTAATTTTGAAAGAAAGCTCAGATAGAAAAAACAATAATTTGATTAATATTTTGTTAGTAATTAAGAGGGAAAGATCTGTGCCAACGATTAAAAATGAATTTTATTAAAAGTTTTAGATTATTTTTTTTCTTCTACTCTTTTTTAAACAAACAATCAATTTTAAATGAAAAGTGACCATTTGAGAGTAAAATTGTGTCAAACATCTTTCTTAGCTAATACACATAACAAATTATTTTAAGGCAGGTATTGTTGCCACACCCAAGATTTCGGTTTCCTTGTGTATTGAAATTTTATACATCATATATCGTTGATATAAAGATTTTGAACCGAACTTTCACAGGACGCTGAGTACAGATTGAGTGCCGACATTGGCCAATGTATTTACATATTTTTCGGAATTTTTAAAAAATAAAAACAGTAATAATTTTATACATTACCACCTTGTTTACATTTACGACAGTTTCATGTACCGGAAAAGTTTGTTGTCCGACTCACAATAATAATTTTGTTCAATATTTTAAATAATTTACAATTTTTTACTTTTTGAGTTGTATAACTCTATCTTTAGTGTTTAATTCCTTTGTTCAAATTCCTTTCTTTGAATCACTCACATAAACTTGTTATTTCTAATTTAATTATAATTGCTATTTAAAAATTCTTTGAATATTGATAGCGTTTTTTTACTAAATTTACACAAAGTTTACAAATTAAAAGTAAAGCTGCTCTCGTATATATGCAATTTTTTTTTAAATATTTCGAAGTGACACCAAAATTAGTTGCCCATGTTCCCACGTTTTAAATTATAAATTGATAAGGTATAAGTGTAATTGTTATATACCATAATTTATTTTTTATATTCACTTAATGTTTCTTACTTTTTATAAGTTTTCTCACTTTTATTTGTTTTATTCAATATCACTTAATCATTATTTCTAACTGTTATTGATTATTTCCAAATTTGGAAAGAAATATTCGAATTCAATATTACGGTTCATTATAATACATATAACACTTTGAAGCTTTAAATTTAACGATCAACTGTTGAAGTCCTACTTAAGTAAATCTAAGTATGTCAAAATTCCTCTATATTTTTAAAAATATAACAATTTAAATTTTTAATACTTTATTCATGGTCACAATATTAAATTCCAATATAAATATTTTGTGTAATATGGGTTTGACAATTTAACCACCGGGTGTTGTTGGAGGGAATGTTGGTATTACCGGGGGTGGTGGTGGTACTGGAGGAGGTGGTGGTGGTGGGGGTGGCGGTGGTGGTGGAGGAGGAGGCGGAGGTGGTGGTGGAGATGGAGGAGGAGCTGGCGGTGGAACTGGAGGTGGTGCGGGTGGTGGAACTGGAGGCGGGACTGGTGGTGGTACCGGAGGTGGAACTGGTGGTGATACTGGGGGTGGTGGTGGTGATGTAGGTGATGTCGTAGCTGGCGTTGTTGGTGACGGTGGAGTTCCAGTTGGTGATGTAGTAGCTGGCGGACTTGGCGCTGGAGATGGTGAAGGTACTAGAATAATATTGATGACTTCTGGTGCTGGAGTAGCCTTGTACATAAAGAATCTTCCTTGTATACGTTCAGCTAAAAAATATTATTATTTTAGTTTTTATTCAAATCCACAGTTTTCCTAAATTTAGTGCGCTTTTAATTTATTATTTTAGTTAGAATTTAAGTTTTTTCGATTATTCACTTGTATTAGAAACTAAAAAAAAACCAATGAATATTTTCATTTTTTTTTATTTGATTTAAATCTAATCTTGTTTGCACGTGTTAAAAATTTACATAGATTAAAGTGCCGAAGTCACTATATTTTATTTTTAACTCACAATGTATTTCAGGAAGCAGCGTAATTAAAAATAAGCAAATATAACTTATATAATTCCATTTCAACATATTGGAAAATCACTTTTGACACTTTGCCGAATTATTAAAGTTGAAATTATTTTAAGTTAATTGAATTTAGTGCGGTTCATTTCTTAATTTTTTTTTAAGTTACTGATGCGCCCCGATGGTTCTACCTTGAATACTGAAGCAAGAATAAACTTAATTAATTTTTCCAAAATCGTTTTATTGTATAGGATTTTTAAAGGAATGCTATGCCATGTACTGAAAATAACATTTGAATTAGTTGAATTTGCTTTCTATATAAAATTAGTTGGCTAACGACGGCTTAGAGCGAATTTATAAATAAGAAGAACAATTTAATTGCCAATAAAATACAAAAGACTAAAAAAAAATTTAAAAAATTAAAAATATTATGAAATTATAGACTATTGTAAATAGCAATAGTTTGACTACATACCTATAGGATATGATAATTTTTTTTTATTACTACTTCGCTCCTGGGAAGGAGCATAAGGTCGATGCACAATATTGTAGATACTCAAGAATCAGTTTCTGAAGCCATTAACTTTACTACATAGTTGACGAGCCTACCGTACATATGATAATTAAAATCAAATCAAATGTTGTCGGTATTGCCAAGGGAATTTTTGCAGGCCACCATAGCTTACTGTATCGTTCGATACCCAGCTTACACTACCATGTTCCCGAGTAAATATCCGGACATAATCCTAATGTAGATGTAACTCAACTTTCCAACATTGAGAGAAGCCCGCGCAAACAATCTACGTCTCCTGGCGGCCAGAGGAGCAGTCATACAGAATATCTATGGCTGTCAGTTTATGCAAGGGGCATTTCACAGAACATGTCCAGTGAAGAAGCCAGTAATAGAACGAACCCGATTCCGACGAACCCCAAATGACTTTGAGGAGAGCTTCTTTGTGCAAGATGGAAAGGAAAAGTTTCGGATTTTGGCATTACTCAAAAGCTTCCTAGCCCACAATCAATTTACAGTTATAACAGTCGAAACCGGATAATTACAAAATGAAATGAGCAGTATTTTGCGAAAATAGCAAACGCAAGTGAATACAGCTTAAAATGTGTTTTGCTTTAACCGAAAGATTGTTCAACAATGTAACTTGAAAACAATATTAATGTTACTGACAACGTAAATTTTTTTGGCAGAATGTAAACGATTTTTCTAAAAAATATTATAACAAAAGTTCTTTGAATTTTATCAAACATTAAGTCCATCTGCCATCTGCAGTCGGCTTTAATCACTTATCACCCATTAACTCGAAAAGACATTTTATGACATAAATGAAGCTATCATAAACGAGATTCATCTTAAATTATAGCATAAATTTTGATTTATGATGGAAAATTTTTACCTACATAAATTTTGTTTAAACTTTTCTTAATGATTCTAGTGTTATAATATTCTAAAAGTTTCTAAATGAAAAAAAAATAAATAACTATTTACGTCATAGAAAAAAATAAAAGAAGTCAGAATAAATTACAAAACAAATCAGTAGCACTCGCGGCTTATAAAACAAAAAAAAATAAACATTCTTTTTGGTTAATATTTTTTTTAAACATGTTTAATGTTTGGAAGAAACACACGACATATACGACATACATAGGTTCTTATGTAATTGTATTCAAATTTTGTGTGTTAGTGATTTTCAGAGGGTGATGCATTTTTAAAGTGCCGAGTGATAATAATTATAAATTTACATAAAAGATCCTGGCAAATTTACATAAGACTGGCAGCTGAGTTAATTTTTTGAGTGAGCTCGCCATTTAACCAAGAACGATAATGTAAACCAACACATTGTATATTGCGTTAAAAAATATCCTTCCAATTTTATTAAGAATTTGTGATTATTTGCTCATTTTTGGGATTTCTTCGGCATTTTTTTCAATAGTATTTCATTAAAACTAAATATTTTTGAAACATTGCAAAATTTCCATAAATTGTTAACTACGGTAATTAACTACGTATATAAATAAAGCTTCTATAAAAGAATTACAAATTCTTTAGAAATTGGTAACCCATTAATGATAATTTTATTACTGAACTTAAAATAATAGAAAATTTTTCATTAAAAATTGAATAAGGAAAGTTGAAAATTAAAAACAAATAAAAATAAACATAAAAATCGCATTACAAATTACAGACTTAAACCAAAAAAAAAAATAATAATAATAAGGAATTCAAAAATTCGCTTTAAAATAAGGTGGTTAGCTTGTTAGTCTATTAAGCAAGACACAAGGAAAAAAGCTATAAAAGGAGAAATGAAGTTGCCGAAATTTCACATTTTCTTTTAGTTTTTGTTTTTTCTAAGATATTTTGCAAAACTATTCTTGTTTTTTTTTTGTTTTGATTTCCGAAAAATAAAAAAAAACTAAGATCGTAAAAAATAATGGTAACTGACATTGTTTTTATTTTGATTTATTAATTTATTGCTCTTGGTTAAACATCAAATTTTTGATCTGCTGAATCTTTATTACCAAATTTTATAAAAAAAAAATTAAACGAAACCAAATAAAAATATCAAATTAATAAAGTTGGGTCAAACCAATGGTTTGTATTTTAGCACTTTTCCCTTCAACAAATGAAAATTTTGCTTTTAAATACAGTCTATGTAGTCTATGTACCTATCACACTATTAAAATTATTTTCATTCATATACAAAACTATTTCTAGGGTTGCATATATTTAGGATGAATGATTTATGCAGTCTTTGAAATAAAGCAAAAATTAATATAAAGTGGGGTTAACATAATGCTCGATTTTAAGGTTTAATTGTGCGAGTTAAGAAAAATAATTATAGTTTTTAATGTCATGGAATTTACCGTTAGCTTTTTGCGTTTATAGAAATTTGAAAAAGCTTGCGGTTTCGGAAATATGAGGTGTCAAAAATTCAAATTTTACAAAATTCAAGAGGCGATAACTTGAGAGGGGGTGGAGATGTAAAAAAATTTTCTTCTAACGAAATGAACTATTTGATAATGTCTAAAAGCCCTTAAAATTTCAAGCTTCTACAGGCTGGGGTGTAGAAGAAAGACGACATCAAAAATTTCGAAAAAAAGGACTTTAGATAACGGTAAATATGAACGGCCATTTTGTTTTCCTAAGGTTTAGCTATAATATACCGCGCTAGGGGAAGCAAGGCACTGCCTTTCTGCGTTTGCAAAATTTCAAAAATGCTTATGGTTTCATTGCAACAAATAGTTAAAAAGGCCATTTTTATGGTTTTGGAGGGGTATAACTTCTAGAGGGGAAGAGATAGGTAAAAATTTTGTTCCATGAAAAAAAGTTTCTAGTGAAGTTCTATGTACGTATGAAATTTCAGCTTTCTATCTTCAAGGGTGTAGAAGTAAACAAAAAAAGTGTCCACGGACGGGCAGAGTGAAACTAATAAGCACTTTTTTTCAAAAAATTTTGGAACTATCAAACATTTGAGAAATTTAATATCGAAGTTTTAGATCGACAACAAAATTGTTAACCCTTAAATGCATAATTAATATCAGTGGACAGCAGATATTAAAAATTTGCTTGATGAAATTTTAATTTTAAAGCGGCAAGAATAGCGAGTCCAAGATTTCGTATGGTCTTTTAAATCTTTGAATTTTAATAAAATTTTTTTACAATTGGGAAGAATTCCCTATTGCAAATTAATCGAAATGCTCACATAGGGCCGTGTAAAGAAATCGGACACTATATGACTTTTCAAAAAAAAAGAAGTCAAAAGAATAAGAGCCTTAAATAGATCTATGATCGGAAATTAACGACGGCTCTTAAACATTTAAAATTAATTTACTCGTATCGGTCTGTTACAGTTCTTATGCATAAATTTTACAGCCGATCATTTAACAAAATATTTTTAATTTTAATTTTTATTCAAAAATTTTCTTCGTTGGAAAAATTTTTCAATAAAGAAAATATTTCAATGTCAAATACAAAATTGGATTGAAAAGTGTTAATTACGCTAAAGAACCATGTGCCTTAATTTATTTAGAAAGAAAAAAATTCCGTGTAAAACTTGATTTTTCAGACAATGAAAGAATAAAAAAAATTTTGGAAGATTAGATAAATTTTATTGATTATTTTTGATGCAATTAAGGAAAAAATTACGTCAATGAACTTTTAAAAATCAAATAAAAATTTTATTCAAATAAATAGATTAACCATAATACTGAACTTTAATAAAATATACTCTACAAATTTAAACCTAATTTTATTAGCACATCAAAGATACAATTTAGGTCACTTCAAGTTTTGTTTGGGAAAAATTAATCCTTAAATGGTTTTAGAATGTTGTTCTCTAATTTATTTGTAAGTACATACAATTAAAGAATCGACTGAAAATAAGTATAAAAAATCTGATGTGGTCAGCACATAACCGACCGCATTGTGTATTGTCTAGTTAAATGAAAGTGTTACAGAATATTATAAAAATGTCTGTTAAATACTTCTTTCCAATTTTTAGGACATTAGTAAGCTTATAGTTAACATACTTAGAAAAATGTATATTTGGCTCTTAGTAGAGTTTCGCTTTGTGCTACCCGAATTCCCTGAAATGCTCGCCAGTTAGTTTCGGTAACAACCAGAGCTCAAATATCAAATTTCAAGAAATTCCATCAATTTGTTCTGTGGATATGGTGAAAAATGTAAAATCGGCCCGCAAATCAGTTTTCGAGCCCTGGTCTTTCCAAAAAATTTATATGTTCATTGTTTTAATACGAGGAGTTCATATATTAAATTTCAATGAAATCGGTTGATTATTTCTCTTTATATACACAAAAATGTATATTTGGCCCGTAGTAAACGTCTAGTTGCCGATTCCTGATTTCTTCCAAAACATAGGAATTTTCGCGGACGGTCGAGCTGAGCTTATATATAAAATTTCAAGTAAATCGGTTGAATATTTTCTTCAAAATGTTCAAAAATGTAAAACAGGCCCGCTAAAAAGTGCAGTTCCCGAGGCCTGATATATACCAAAAGTTGATCGATCAGTGCCATGGTGGAAACAAACTTACATATAAAATTTCATCAAAATCTGTTCAGCCGAACTTGAGATACACGCGTGCACACACAGACCGACAGACGGACAGACCGACAGACCGACAGACCGATAGGTTGCTAAAAATAGTTTATTTACACTTCCCTACTATGGAGAAGTACGTTCCCACCGAAAACTAGATATGCAAAATTTGTTGCCATCACATAACCTACCTATTGTTTACACAATACGGTCGGTAAAAATCGATTCTTGATTAAATGGAAAAAGAGACAATTGATTTTACTTAACTCGTGGAGTTTTGAGAATTCGAAAAATAATTATGCCTGAAAAACTCTTTTACAGCAATTTTTAAATTTCGAAATAATCCGAAATGTTTGAAAGGACTTGGTAAAACAAGATATTAAACTTTTCTGTCAAATAAACAGAGTGTTCTTGCTTTAACTAAAAATTGGGATTTTAACTAAACATTTATAATTTGTGACTATTAGAAAGTAAGGATATTAAGTGAAAAACAGTAACTCAATGAATTAAATGAAGGCTCATCTGATATATGATTACAAAATTTCGAACAATATTTGGCAAGCTTGATTGAAAATATTCTTTGAGCTTTGTATTTATTTGGACTTTCATCGCAAATATAAAGACTCCGGGAGCATTGTTCTACTTTTAATAAACAACTATTTATTGTAAGTCCAAAAAGTTAACATGTTAAATATGTTGACCTCTTCGAACTTACAAAAAAAAAAAAATCGGGGTGACAGTGATGACGAATCACGTGTTTTTAAAAGTGTAAAGCATGTAGGGGGAATATACTAGCTTTTACCAAATCATTTTAATTTTATTGAGGGTATTATTGAGTGACTATTGTGTAAGATCTTATAGTGAGATCAATTCCAAATTTATGCGAATATCGCTTAAAAATTGTTTTCATATTAATAATTTTTCCGTAAAAATAGGGAAACACGCAGTATGGATAAATTTATGATTTAGTTTACGCTTTATATAATATTTATTAATCTTAAAATTTATTTTTTTTTTATATTATAAATTCAATAGCACATAACACTTGAATCTCTATATTCGAGTATATACTCATTTGAACAAATAATCGAAGGGTATCCATTAAATATTTACCACTCCATTTGTAACGATAAGAACCAACAACAGAGTCATCCATTTTTCCCGGCAATAACTTGAAAACTCCTATAGCTAGACTAACTGATTTTTCACCAAGCAAAAAAAATTGCTGCCGTGATCTAGTTCAGCAACTTGTAAGGCGCAGAGGAGCATAACTCCGCTACCGTGAGAGCAATATCCCGCAGTATTTCCCTTCTCCAGCGAGCGGGAAGAAGATGTACTAAGGTCCTTTCATCTTCTACAAAAAATTTACCATCCCAGCCCACTATGGCGCCTCGTAAGTCTCCGTTAACCCGACACGACCTCAGTGAGAATTCTCACCTGATTCTTTCCCATCCCTATAATTTTCTTAAATCACTTCTGGCCATAGTTTCCCAGAAGCTATTTAGACTGCCACAGCTCCGGAAAATTTCTCCAACAGAGCAGTCGCGCCCTGTCTGATTTCTTGCTTAGTTCCCAAAAATAGTATGTGATTCGATCATGCAGTACATATCCTCCTTGTCTCATTTCCTTTTACGCCCACATAGCCTGGCACCTAGTACAAGATGATTCGATTGCACCAATCCAGTGCATTGATTTTCTCAAGACATCGTCATACTACCGCGGGGGATGTTTAAAATTAACTCCATTGTTGTTATAAGATTTGGTTTTTTAAACAACCTTCCACAATAATCGGTCAACTCTATTTCTTTATTTGTTTTTTAAACAAATAAAGAAATAAAACAACATTTAAAATTTTTAAATTAATTCTTATAGTAGAAATTCTTGGTGATTCTTTCTACTTTGAAAACCAAAACTAAAATGATTCAAATTTTTGTTTGTTGTTGCAGATTTTTATTGAAAATACCATGCGTATACATTCAATCAGATTCCCTGGAATATATTATTTAATATTACCCGGTATAAAAAATAATAAGTAGATATTTGTCGACTCACTTTGGTTAATTTAAATATGAAGCTTTGCCTGGTGAACACTAGCTTTAATATTCAAATTACTATTTATAAGAACACTAGCTGATAATTTATTCAAATTACTTAATAAGGGTTTGTCTCGTGAACGAAGCATGCACGATTTTAAATGTGAGAGTTCTTTTACGCATAGGTTAGCAAACATTTGTATTTTTGCCTATTTAACCAACCTAATCAATTTAATTAATATTTTAGCTATAGGTTTTCTTAAGCATTATATCAGTACAATTTTGTAGGCAAACTTGCGCTGTATAAATAAATGCTGTGAAATAATGTATAAGTTATCAACAATACAGGCAAATTTTTAACACGACTACTGATCGTCAGGGACAAATCATCTCTGCACTGTTTTCTTTCATAGAATCATCATACTATCAAACTATCGAAAATATATTGTGTAACATGTATCAAGTTGCTGTTTTGATTTTATTCCCTAATCTTTTCTATCTTAATTAATTTGAAACTAAAAAATTTTCTAGGAAGTATAAGTAATAAGAAGAACCTCTTACAAAAAAGTATAACTACATTTTTCTTGATAATTAAGCAACCTACTAGTATATACCCAATTTTAAATAAGTTAGTGTTGTACAAACTAGATATTTAAAAATACTTTAGGTATAGTAATATAAACACATTTAGTGAAACGTATATTGTAGTATTCAGAAAAAAATAATGGGGCAATGGTAGATTCTAAACAAAACCTTAATCTAATCAATGTAGGAAGCTTAAAATTAATTTTGAAAGAAAGCTCAGATAGAAAAAACAATAATTTGATTAATATTTTGTTAGTAATTAAGAGGGAAAAATCTGTGCCAACGATTAAAAATGAATTTTATTAAAAGTTTTAGATTCTTTTTTTTCTTCTACTCTTTTTTAAACAAACAATCCCTTTTAAATGAAAAGTGACCATTTGAGAGTAAAAGTGTGCCAAGCATCTTTCTTAGCTAATACACATAACAAATTATTTTAAGGCAGGTATTGTTACCACACTACCTCCCTTGTAAACAAGATTTCGGTGTCTTTGTGCATTGAAATTTTATACATCATGTATCGTTGATATAAGGATTTTGAAACCGAACTTTCACAGGACGCTGAGACATTAACCAATGTATTTACATATTTTTCGGAATTTTAAAAAAATAAAAACAGTAATAATTTTATACATTACCACCTTGTTTACATTTACGACAGTTTCATGTACCGGAAAAGTTTGTTGTCCGACTCACAATAATAATTTTGTTCAATATTTTAAATAATTTACAATTTTTACTTTTTGAGTTGTATAACTCTATCTTTAGTGTTTAATTTAAAATTCCTTTGTTCAAATTCTTTTCTTTGAATCACTCACGTAAAATTGTTATTTCTAATTCAATTATAATTGCTATTTAAAAATTCTTTGAATATTGAGAAACACATACGAGTACATAGCGTTTTTTTAATAAATTTACACAAAGTTTACAAATTAAAAGTAAAGCTGCTCTCGTATATATGCAATTTTTTTTTAAATATTTCGAAGTGACACCAAAATTAGTTGCCCATGTTCCCACGTTTTAAATTATAAATTGATAAGGTATAAGTGTAATTGTTATATACCATAATTTATTTTTTATATTCACTTAATGTTTCTTACTTTTTATAAGTTTTCTCACTTTTATTTGTTTTATTCAATAGCACTTAATCATTATTTCTAACTGTTATTGATTATTTCCAAATTTCGAAAGAAATATTCAAATTCAATATTACGGTTCATTATAATACATATAACACTTTGAAGCTTTAAATTTAATGATCAACTGTTGAAGTCCTACTAAGTAAATCTAAGTATGTCAAAATTCCTTTAAATTTTTAAAAATATAACAATTTAAATTTTTAATACTTTATTCATGGTCACAATATAAAATTCCAATATACATAAATATTTTGTGTAATATTGGTTTAACAATTTAACCAACGGGCATTGTTGGAGGGAATGTTGGTATTACCGGTGGTGGTGGCGGTACTGGAGGAGGTGGTGGTGGTGGGGGTGGCGGTGGTGGTGGAGGAGGAGGCGGAGGTGGTGGTGGAGATGGAGGAGGAGCTGGCGGTGGAGCTGGAGGTGGTGCGGGTGGTGGAACTGGAGGCGGAACTGGTGGTGGAACCGGAGGTGGAACTGGTGGTGATACTGGGGGTGGTGGTGGTGATGTAGGTGATGTCGTAGCTGGCGTTGTTGGTGACGGTGGAGTTCCCGTTGGTGATGTTGTAGCTGGCGGACTTGGCGCTGGAGATGGTGAAGGTACTAGAATAATATTGATGACTTCTGGTGCTGGAGTAGCCTTGTACATAAAGAATCTTCCTTGTATACGTTCAGCTAAAAAATATTATTATTTTAGTTTTTATTCAAATCCACAATTTTCCTAAATTTAGTGCGCTTCTAATTTATTATTTTAGTTAGAATTTAAGTTTTTTCGATTATTCACTTGTATTAGAAACTAAAAAAAAACCAATGAATATTTTCATTTTTTTTTATTTGATTTAAATCTAATCTTGTTTGCACGTGTTAAAAATTTACATAGATTAAAGTGCCGAAGTCACTATATTTTATTTTTAACTCACAATGTATTTCAGGAAGCAGCGTAATTAAAAATAAGCAAATATAACTTATATAATTCCATTTCAACATATTGGAAAATCACTTTTGACACTTTGCCGAATTATTAAAGTTGAAATTATTTTAAGTTAATTGAATTAAGTGCGGTTCATTTCTTAATTTTTTTTTAAGTTACTGATGCGCCCCGATGGTTCTACCTTGAATACTGAAGCAAGAATAAACTGAATTAATTTTTCTAATATTGTTTTATTGTATAGGATTTTTGAAGAAATGCTATGCCATGTACTGAAAATAGCATTTGAATTAGTTGAATTTGCTTTCTATGTAAAATTAGTTTGCTATCGACGGCTAAGAGCGAATTTATAAATAAAAAGAACAATTCAGTTGCCAACAAAATAAAAAAGAATAATCGATCTTTTCTACAAAAAAATTAAAAAAATTAAAAAATTATGAAATTACAGACTATTGTAAATAGTAGTAGTTTGGGTACATATCTATAGGATATTGCTTTTAAAAAAAAAAGTTGCAGAATTAAACAAGATTTGTTTTTGCTATTGGCAAAAGAATTCTTGCAGGCAGCTATGGCTTACTGCATGCTTCCCATATCTAACTTACACTACCACGTTTCCAAGAAAATACCCGACGGTAACTCTAAGGGAGTTGGTACTGAACTTTCCAATACTGAGAAAAACTCGCGGAAATAATCTGCGCCTCCTGACGGTAGGAAAAGGAGTAATAAAGACTATGACCGTCAGCTCATCGTCTCTGCGGAATCTATATAAAAGGTGCGATTTCTCCTGTTTATGCAAGTGATATTTCATTGCAAGTGAGAATTTAGCAGATTTTTTGCAAAAAAAATTGAGAAGAGTGAATACAAATTAGCATGTATTCTCCATTAAGCGATTCAATTGTATTCGGCAATTGCGATTTTAAATCTATTATTACTGTAGGTAGATTGTGCAATAATGTGACTTAGAAAAAAAAAAACTTGGAAGCAATAATTCTTATTGAAATATTAGCAATATAATGTTTTTTTGCGTAACCTAGAAGATTTTCGTAAACAATATTGTAACAAAAGTCATTTGAATTTCATACAACACTAAATCTATCTGCCATCTGCAGTCGGCTTTAATCACTTATCACCCATTAACTCGAAAAGACATTTTATGTCATAAATGAAGCTATCATAAACGAGATTCATCTTAAATTATAGCATAAATTTTGATTTATGATGGCAAATTTTTACCTACATAAATTTTGTTTAAACTTTTCTTAATGATTCTAGTGTTAGAATGTTCTAAAGGTTTCCAAATGAAAAAAAAAATGAAATATCTATTTACGTCATAGAAAAAAATAAAAGAAGTCAGAATAAATTACAAAACAAATCAGTAGCACTCGCGGCTTATAAAACAAAAAAAAATAAACATTCTTTTTGGTTAATATTTTTTTTAAACATGTTTAATGTTTGGAAGAAACACACGACATATACGACATACATAGGTTCTTATTAATTTCACTCAAATTTTGTGTGTTAGTGATTTTCAGAGGGCGATGCATTTTTAAAGTGCCGAGTGATAATAATTATAAATTTACATAAAAGATCCTGGCAAATTTACATAAGACTAGCAGCTGAGTTAATTTTTTGAGTGAGCTCGCCATTTAACCAAGAACGATAATGTAAACCAACACATTGTATATTGCGTTAAAAAATATCCTTCCAATTTTATTAAGAATTTGTGATTATTTGCTCATTTTTGGGATTTCTTCGGCATTTTTTTCAATAGTATTTCATTAAAACTAAATATTTTTGAAACATTGCAAAATTTCCATAAATTGTTAACTACGGTAATTAACTACGTATATAAATAAAGCTTCTATAAAAGAATTACAAATTCTTTAGAAATTGGTAACCCATTAATGATAATTTTATTACTGAACTTAAAATAATAGAAAATTTTTCATTAAAAATTGAATAAGGAAAGTTGAAAATTAAAAACAAATAAAAATAAACATAAAAATCGCATTACAAATTACAGACTTAAACCAAAAAAAAAAATAATAATAATAAGGAATTCAAAAATTCGCTTTAAAATAAGGTGGTTAGCTTGTTAGTCTATTAAGCAAGACACAAGGAAAAAAACTATAAAAGAAGAAATGAAGTTGCCGAAATTTCACATTTTCTTTTAGTTTTTGCTTTTTCTAAGATATTTTGCAAAACTATTCTTGTTTTTTTTTTGTTTTGATTTCCGAAAAATAAAAAAAAACTAAGATCGTAAAAAATAATGGTAACTGACATTGTTTTTATTTTGATTTATTAATTTATTGCTCTTGGTTAAACATCAAATTTTTGATCTGCTGAATCTTTATTACCAAATTTTATAAAAAAAAATTAAACAAAAGCAAAATAAAAATATCAAATTAAAAAAGAAAACAACAACTATCAAATATTTGAGAAATTTAATATCGAAGTTTTAGATCGACAACAAAATTGTTAACCCTTAAATGCATAATTAATATCAGTGGACATCAGATTTTAAAAATTTGCTTGATGAAATTTTAATTTTAAAGCGGCAAGAATAGCGAGTCCAAGATTTCGTATGGTCTTTTAAATCTTTGAATTTTAATTAAATTCTTTTACAATTGGAAAGAGTTCCCTATTGCAAATTAATCGGAATGCTCGCATAGGGCCGTGTAAAGAAATCGGACACTATATGACTTTTCAAAAAAAAAGAAGTCAAAAGAATAAGAGCCTTAAATAGATCTATGATCGGAAATTAATGACGGCTCTTAAACATTTAAAATTAATTTACTCATATCGGTCTGTTACAGTTCTTATACATAAATTTTACAGCCGATCATTTAACAAAATATTTTTAATTTTAATTGTTATTCAAAAATTTTCTTCGTTGCCAAATTTTTTCAATAAAGAAAATATTTCAATGTCAAATACAAAATTGGGTTGAAAAGTGTTAATTACGCTAAAGAATCACGTGCCTTAATTGATTTAGAAAGAAAAAAATTCTGTGTAAAGCTTGATTTACATGAGACAATGAAAGAATAAAAAAAATTTTGGAAGATTAGATAAATTTTATTGATTATTTTTGATGCAATTAAGGAAAAAATTACGTCAATGAACTTTTAAAAATCAAATAAAAATTTTATTCAAATAAATAGATTAACAATTATGCCGATACTAGCGTCAAAGATACAATTTAGGTCATTTTTAATTTTTGAGAAAAATTAATCCTTAAATGGTTTAAAAACTGTGCTCTCTAATTAACTTCTAAATACATAAAATTAGAGAATCAATTAAAGATAAATATATAGAATCGATTCTCGATAGAATGAAAAAAGAAACAATTGATTTTACTGGACTCGTGTCATTGATTGCGTCATTAATTGTGCTCTGCAGTTGTATGAAGGAATTTCCAATAGTTATAGAATGGATTGTTTTCAATTTAATTTTACTTTGGCTTAAATAAACTTAAGAAATGTATAGATAGAAGGGATTCAAATTAAATTTTTTGCAATACAAGGAGCCAATTGAAAAAATGAAAAAATTCGTAAATCAAAAAGAAATCGAACTAATTCAAAATTTCAAAAGTTAATCATCACACTTAAGGTTTAAAACTGGAAGTTTATCAAAAACGAGTTTAACGAAATCGCGATTTTACAATATTGAAAGCATTCTTTAGCTAACCATCTTATAAAATTTTGCGAAATCTAAAATTGAATACCAAACAGGACAGTAAAAATCTTAATAGAAAATTTTCTAAATTTTGATTTTTTGAAATGATCTTCTGTTTTCGAATTAATTAGGTCGCCTCTAATATGGAATTGATCAAGAAACATTCGCAGTGAATATTTTAAATTAGTTCAGTAAAATTTATTCTTCCTTTCTAATATTGTCAAATATTCTTTTAAAATACGAAAGCATACTGTGGTATTGAAAGTCATGAAAGAATTTGTTCTTTAAGAAAACTGCATTTTATAATCAGAAGTATTGTGTGGCAGTTCGTAAATTCAGTTATTTTATCAAGAATATAATATTATACATCCTTTAATTACTATTTGTGCATAAATATCATAATATTACAAGATGTTCATTTGCTACATATGATCATAGCATCATATGATTAGATGTACATTTTGAATTTAATAACATTTTAAAAATTTTATTAACCACTCGTTGAAGACCCTATATATTACAGTTAATTATACCCGTACGAACGTATGTTCGAAGGGTATACTAAATTTGCCTTACCGTTTGTAACGCTAAGAAATAACGGTGTTACATATAGACTCAAGTGTATGTTTTTGATCAGCGTCAAATTCTGAGTTGATTTAGCTTTGTCTGTCCGTCCGTCCGTCCGTCCGTCCGTCCGTCCGTCCGTCCGTCCGTCCGTCCGAACGATAACTCAAAAACTAATTGAGCTAAGTTCACCAAATTTTCACAAATGATTTACTGTAGTAAGTACCAGAACCCTATTTAAATTGGACATGATCGGGGTACCGGTTCGGGTAGCTGCCATACAACTTCAAAATTTATTTGGCTATATCTCAGAAACTATTAAAGTTATGGTATTGAAATTTCACACAAACGAATATATTAGTAGGGCCAATATGCCATATAAAAGTCGTTGAAATTACTTGGCTCCTTCTGGTACCTGCCATACAACTTCAAAAATTATTTGGCTATATTTCAGAAACTATTAAAGCTATGGTATTGAAATTTCATACAAACAAATATATTAATAGGGCCAATGTATCACATAAAAGTAGTTGAAATTACTTGGCTCCTTCTGCTACCTGCCATACAACTTCAAAAGTTATTTGGCTATATTTCAGAAACTATTAAAGCTATGGTATTGAAATTTCACACAAACGAATATATTAGTAGGGCCAATATGCCATATAAAAGTCGTTGAAATTACTTGGCTCCTTCTGGTACCTGCCATACAACTTTAAAAATTATTTGGCTATATCTCAGAAACTATAAAAGCTATGGTATTGAAATTTCATACAAACGAATATATTAATAGGGCCAATGTATCACATAAAAGTAGTTGAAATTACTTGGCTCCTTCTGGTACCTGCCATACAACTTCAAAAGTTATTTGACTATATTTTAGAAACTATTAAAGCTGTGGTATTGAAATTTCACACAAACGAATATATTAGTAATGCCAATGTGTCTCATAAAAGTCGTTGAAATTACTTGGCTCCTTCTGGTACCTGCCATACAACTTCAAAAGTTATTTGACTATATCTCAAAAACTATAAAAGCTGTGATATTGAGATTTCACACAAGTGAATATATTAGTAGGGCCGATGTGCTTGATAAAATTCGCTAAAATTTCTTGGCTCTTTCTGGTAGCTGCCATACAACATCAATAGTAGTTTGGCACAACCAGTATTTTGAATAACACATATTACTGAAATTTTGCATAAATTAATATGGTAATACGGCAACTTAAAGTCATAGTCTGCCCCATAGTTAGTTATGGCACATTAGTTATTCGCACATAGGATAACAAATTCGTACGGGTATCACAGAGTTGACAAGGTCAACTCTATTTTTTTCTCGTTCATGCTTAATTTTAAAAATTTTAATACACTTGTTTTAGCAGTTGATTCATGTGAAACTTTACTTATTTGAGTGTGGAATTGTTTTTATTCTTTGAATATTTTTGTAATAAATTTATGCACCTTATATATATTTATAAATAAAATAAAAGTTTCTATACTTACCCTAAAAAGTCTGAAATCTGCTTTAGTTTCTTGTAAATCATTACCCTCCAGGGGTAGTGGGAGGAAAAGTTGGAATCGTTGGAACTGGTGTTGTTGGTATTGTGGGTGTAACAGTTGGTGGTGGTGGTGGTCCAGGTGGTGGTATTGGTGGTGGTGGTGGTGGAGGTGGTGGGGGCGGTGCAGGCCATGGTGATGGTGGTGGTGGAGGTGGTGGGGGCGGTGCAGGCCCTGGTGGTGGTGGTGGTGGAGGTGGTGGGGGCGGTGTAGGACCTGGTGGTGGTGGTGGTGCAGGCCCTGGTGGTGGTGGTGGTGCAGGCCCTGGTGGTGGTGGTGGTGCAGGCCCTGGTGGTGGTGGAGGTAGTGGTCCCGGTGGAGGAACGGGTCCAGGTGGTGGCGGTGGTAGCGGAGGAGGAGGTGGTGGTGGAAGCGGAAGTGGAGGTGGTGGTGGAAGTGGTGGAGGTGGTGGTTGTGGTAATGGAGGCTGTACTGGTGGTACTGGCGGTAAAGGTGTTGAGGGTATGGTCGGTGGAAACGACGGTTGTGATGGTGATGTAGTTGGTGTTGCAGGTAATGGAGTAGTTGGTGCTAAAGTTAGTGTACCTGCAGTTGGTAAAATAGTTTCAAATATAGGTGGTCTCGAAGGTGATGGTGGCAAAATTCTAACTATTGTCGGTTTGGCCGTTGTATTAAACTTATCAAAAAATATTGGTAAAAAACGTCCTTCTATGTTATTATCCAAACTTTTGATGACATTATATGGTCGCTTTTTGAATGAATAATAATTCGCACTAATCCTCTTTTTGGCTAAAAGTAAGTAAATAATCTGGTATTTTTTTATTTCTTCTAATGCTGTTTAATAAAGAGGTGTGCCAGTTAATCTATAGAAATATACGCTTTAAAATAAATGGAAAACTATCCAAAATATCACGAATTTATAAAAGTTTTTTTATTTTTTGTTCAAATATTGTTATATTGAATGAACAGTTCGGGCGAAAACTTTATCGACTCGGGGCCGACACACCTCTGCTAATCTACCATTTAATTACCTGATATTTCATTATTTACTTTTAAAAATACAAGTAATATAACTAATATTTTTATTTTAATCATGATGTTGAATAATTAAAAGCACATTTTCATCATTAAGTTCACTTATTTTAAAGAAATTTTTTATATTTAATAGAACTTTAGTATATTACGTCCACTATATTATAAAAAAATACGTCTTTTAGGTAGAAAATTAAATTTAGAACTGACACTTATCAAATTAAGTTTACGCTTTAATATAAAATAGAAAATTGAAAGGTTTCTATTACTTATCTTAACAAATCCAAATACACAAATGTAAAAATATAAAATTAAGTGTAACTGTATTAACTGTACACTAAAGTTTTGCAAATTTTGGTAAATATAAAAGTTTATAAGTAAAATATAATAATGTGACATTTATGACTTAGAATTCTATAAGAACATAAAATTTTTGTCACCTTCCTTCTAAGTCACTCTTTTACTTTATATTATTTTATATACTTACCTACATATAATCTATCTACAACAAAAAAACCCGCAATATAAAATAACTTTAACTTTGGCCATAACTTATCTTAACAAAGACAAAATTTTAATTCTATTAAATTTGATAAATTTAATAGCAATTCCAAAAAATTTTGAGTTTGAAATGTGAAAATAAAAAAAAAATTTAAAAATATAAATTCCCCAGGAAGCATAAAATTTCAGAAATTGAAGTAAAAATCCTAAAATTTTATACTACTAGTATATTTAATTGCGGTTTTGTGCTACACCTTGCATATACTCGATCGCCATTAACAAAATTTACAAATTTGACAAATTTGACGTCGAAGGACGTGAGGAACCTTACACTTTGTTTGATTAACGTACAACTTATAACTTTTTACATACAATACAGCGTATCTTTCAGCGGAACCATATGGTTAATATTATTTTGGTGTAATATACTGTAGTACATTAAAATGTTTGCTGGTTTTAGATTTTTCGTTTTGGCTCTTGTATCTTATAAAATGTACATTTAAAACTTTTTAAAATTTTATAGTAAATTTCTACAAAGATTTGTATAGAAATTTATTATTAACACTTTTATATAAAAATGTAATTTAAAACAATAAAATATAGGCCAATAACATGGTGTGATTCGCGAAATTAACTACACGCATTTTACTTTTATGAACAAAGATAGAGGTTACTGAATTTTAAATGTGTTATTGATCGTATAGTTTTCAAAATGTATTAGATAAAAATTTATGTGAATATAATAATATTGTGTACTTCTGTATAATATGAAAATTGGCAGGGTGGTCCGAAACTAGTACTGATGGGAGTGATTCCTTCCAATTTTTTAAGTACAAAAAAAAAAAAAAATTTTGAGAAGTTCTTTCACTTCCATATGAACAATTTTTTTCCTTTAAAAGTACTAAGAATGGCCTGCAATAATAAGAGTTTTAACCTAGTTCCGAACCACCCTAAATACACACAATTATGGCATATAGTATAAAAATGATTGACCTCAAAAGTTGCACAATACATTAACGTGAAGGTATCATTAATGTATTGGCATCTCTAAGCAATAGTTGAATATTTTGAAGTATAGAATTTTGAGTAACCTTTAAAAAAAATATTTAGCCTCTTTAAAGTGTTGGGGTTTCGAGAAAGTTCGGGCCAAGAGATGTTATTTTTTTTGTGCTTGAAGTTAAGAATGCACACCCACTATAAAACCTAGCACTCGTCAGTAAGGACCAGGGATCCGGTAGAAACTTAGGTAAGAAATTTAATGGACAAGTTGGGAGTTATAGAAATGCTTTTCAAAACTGTTGCATTCTATAGATCTCCTTGCCGATTATAGCCATTAACGTATCTTGTAAAAAATACTAGGTAACAACTAAGCGAAAAGACTGATGAAAGTCTGGGTGGTCGACACAACAGTCTACCATTTCGAGACACTTTACCGGATAATGCCTTGCGGAAGCATTCTGTGACAAACTCTAATGACACAAACTCTAATCTATAATTCAGAGTCTTTTTTAATATGGTTAATATATCAAAGGTAGAAAGAAAAGGAAAATACTTTTTCATTTCCACGGTAATAAGACATATTATTATATTTAAGTTTTAAGAGATACGAATTTCAGAAAGAAATAATATATCTTTAATTGTTATACATGTGTAAGAGTTGCATATTACAATATTGGCTAAACTATGGTTCTATTCTCATAATTCTAAGATGGTCGGCATTAAAATGAGAAAAATGTTCTAACAAATAAACTACTCGTAATTTCCAAAATTTACTTAAAGCACCCCATTTTATAAAACTGGAATCATGTCAATCAATTGGATTTACACTAGAACATTAATTTCGTTTTTAGTGGTTTGCCATTGTTTTAAGTGCAAATGCTTCATGATATTTTAACTTTTGCTTTGGGGTACCGGCATGTAGATGTCCACATATACGAATGTAGTGTGAAACGGTCAAACACCTAGAAAAATATATTTGTAATACTTGTATACATATCCGTATATGTATGTATATGTGTTTTTAATTTTTATGGCGATAATACTGTAAACTATCCACATGCCGCTTTTATGCTGATATTTTTGCAAAAATAAATTTTTTTTTTATTACAAAATTCATTTATAGAAAAATTTATTGAAAATTTATTGAACTTGAACATTTTCAAAATGGGATACTTGGAAATTCCTACTTTTTTTTGTGTTCGATTTAGTTAAATGCATATACATATACATTTTGTAAATGAACTTAGAACACGTGTCTTATTTGCTTAAGATATTAAAAAATTTTCTCTTCCTGCTGTACGTTTGTAAAAATTATAATTGAAAGAAATAATATGGCATAACGCTGTTGTCTCTGTATTGGTATAACACAAACCTATTTATTTAGGGAAAAGTTTTCAAAATTCAACATTCCTCTAAATGGATTGCATGTCACTAGATCTTGAACATTTGAGTACAATTCTATATTTGAGAATACTCATTATTAGCGGTTGTAACAAATTGATCGTTGGCAGATTTACCGTCGGTAAAATTAGTTACCAGTAAATTGAGGACAACTGCTACTTATCTTTACATATTTGTATAAAGCATATTGTTTTCATTCTCCATATTGTGGAAATATGTACATATCTACTTAACTAAATGAGGATTTAGAAATAATTTAATTATTTAGTAATAAGTCGTTTAGTACTATTTCGTAATCCAGCTTTCGGTCTAAAAATGAACTGGTAGGAAATAATGGTTCATATATAAAGGGTCAATTCGATAACAGGGTAATTACTAATAGTTCCTGTTTTGAATATTAGTAGTACTTTGTCAAATAATTTGACAACCTGAATTTAATATTCTTAGCCTAAATGTTGCAAACGGATAGACAGATAGAAAAAAGAAGAGATGTCTCCAAGAAATTCCATATCATTCGTTATTTTAATATTTTTATGTATAACTATAGTGTAAGGTAGATATCGATATATGAATGAGATATCACACCTGAAGGTACGGAGCTAGGGGGTACGGAACTAGTGTTAAAGATTTTGTGCGACGATTCCTTCTAGTAGTTTATGAAAAAAAATTGTTCGCGTGGCGGAATTCGGAAATCTAGAGATAGAGAAAATCTATTGGAAACTTATTATTGAATATATTGCGAGTATAATCCGCGAAAATTGCAATTAAATTTTGAAATATAAGGTATTTAAATAGAATAATAACAAAAAATAGTTGAAGAACGGCTTAGAACTTCCCGGCAAGTGGCTGGATAAATAATTTTTCAATTTTCTATTTTCTGGAATCGAAATTTTGTTCTGTATTTTTTATCTACCAATATTCATTTTCTCTGTCACTTGACATTCTGTACGTACATTTTTAATATTGACCAATTTTCGCTATTTTATCCAAACATTTGTTTTTTTCGTATTTTTTTGTATTTTTTTTATTTTTAAGCAATTTCCTCAAAAATTCTGTATCACTTGTACAAAAACCAAAAACAAAAAATGAAAAAATCATCTCCATTTTAATCGCTTAAATCAAATCATTATTAATATTTCAAAACTTAATGATCACATGAATATTTTAAAATTTAATTAATGCGAAACGAGTTTATTCTGATCGCGATTTCATAATATTGAAAGCTTTTTTTAACACACATATTATAAAATTCAGGGCAGCCTATAAATTAATTACCGGCCGGTGACTAAACTTTTAGTAAAACATGTTCTATATTTCTGCTTTTAAAACATTGGAATGGAAAGAATAAGGAAACAATGTAGGATGACTTAACAGCAGCGATGGAAAAAACAAATAAAAAAATTTAAATACTATTTAAATTCGAAAAATATAGCTATGTTGAATGTTTTCCCATTTATAGCAAATAGAGTGAGGTAAATTTATAGTTAGAAGATTAATCTAAGAAATTTTAGATTTTGGAAATTATAAATAAAATTATATCTTCTTAAAGTCAAATGAAATAGTCGATTTAGTCACAATGTAGACCTAGAAGTTTACAATTATTTTAAAAATTATTTTTGAACTTAATATTTTTTATTAGAATTGTATTTTAATTGTTCTTGAATACTTTTAACAGACAACATGAGTAATAAGTCTAAAAAATGTTTCTTTAAAGAAATTACAAAACAAAAACCATAATGTAGCCTTAATTAGGGATTGGAAATTTAGCTTCTCTTTTACTTGCACTCGTTTTAAGATAAAACCTCAAAGAAATTCTATAAAATTACATTTGATCTTACTTTTAGCCAAATATTTTTTTTTAATCTGGAAGTTTAAATATAATATAGTTGCGTGTCTTGAATTTGATTTCAGCAATAAAGTACTAAAATCCGATTCTATGACTGAAACTGTTTCTATTTAATATTAAGAGAATTTTATAATAAAAATTCTTATTTCAGTTTCGCGTTAGTCACACTGCATTGAATACTATTCAATAAAATTGGTTCAAACTAATGATTTGTTTAAAATAGCATTAAAATAGTTTGTGAAATGGAAATTTATTAAACACTTCCATTCATATATCAAATATTGCAAAAGATTGCATACCTTTAGGGTGAGAATTAATTCTATGTCAACTTTGTATGTATAAATTCATGTAAGTATTTGTATGTGTTTCAATTGAAATTTTATATTTTTTAATTAATTTTAAAATTACTTCAAGCTTTTTTCACACTTAAGGGAACATTTTAAAAGTGATCGCAGATTATTAATCAAAATTACTTAGTATTATGGGTATCTTGTTAACTAGTTTAATAACTTCACTGCTATTTGAAATTCAAATAAATTTTATAATTAGATTTTTGTAAGCTTCAAAATTTTATATTGCATTTTTATAATCGTACAATTTAATTTAATTTAATTAATATTTGGCTTGATTTTGTTTTGCTAAATTTCGTTCATGTAAATTATTTCCTTATTGCACTCATTAACTTTATAATCATTTACATACATACATGAATATTTTGACAAAGTTATTCACATTATTTCATTCTATTAAACTCACAATTGCAAATCAATTATTCTATTGCGACTATTGAAAACATTTTGATGTATAGTTTCTTCATATACTTTATTGATATTTTATATTAAAATTTATTATAGCATTATTATTATTATTATTATCACCGTTAAATTTAACCACCTCCGCCAGGAGTCGTTGGTGGAAATGTTGGAATTGGCGGGGGAGGTGGTGGTGGCGGCGGAGGTGGTGGCGGCGGTGGAGGTGGTGGTGGAGGAGGTGGTGGTGGCGGTGGTGATGGAATTGGAGGAGGAGGCGGTGAAGGAGGTGGTGTTGGTGGTGGTGGCGGTGGTGGTGGTGGTGGTGGTGGTGGTAAAGGTACTGGCGGCGGTGGTGGAGCCGGTTGTGGTCCAGGTGGTGAAATTGGTGGTACAGATGTTGTAGGTGTCGGAACAATAGTTGTAGTAGTTGGTGCAATACTTGTTGTTGGACTCACTGGTATAATAATAATTATTGGTGGCATTGTCGTTGCATTAAATTTATTAAAAAATATTGGTAGGAAACGTCCTTCAATTTTATTATCTGAATCCTTAATTACATTGTGTATTTTTTTCTTATATTGGTAGTATCCAGTATTAAATTTATATTTTTTAGCTAGAAGAAATGGAAATTTTTTTCTGTGCTTTTTGAGGATGTATTTACAAATTGAATTTCAATTACCCGATGTTTCATTATTAAAATTTATAAATAATGCAAGTAAAAAAATTAATATGCTAATTTTGTTCATTTTTTTTTCAATTAGAATGAGTTCACTGATTTTTTCTTCAATTTAATTTTTCACCAAAATTTGTTATTTAAATATTTGCCGTAATAAACACGTCTTTTTTGTATAAAACTTAACTTAAGACTGATTTTTTTCGAAAAATATACAACTTTTAATTTGAAATAAAAATATCAAAACTCTATTATATTTTTATTATTTAAGCATCTATTTCGCTCATATTATTTTTATAGCTGCTTTGTATTATTTCCATAAAGAAATAGTAAGAAAAATAAGATTCTAATATTGTTAGCCTTACAATTATGGCAAAAAAACATTTCACACCTTTCTTTTTATCCAATCTTTTATTAACATCTACTTTATTGTCTGTTATAGAGGATAGAATACGATTTTATGCAAAATTAATCTCATCCATGGTATACTTAGAATACGACTATTTTAAGAAGGAAAATTACTTTTCGTATGAATTGAAATTCAACGTATGCTGTACATCAAATATTCTAGTAAGAATAGGTATTTGATGTACTCTTGATTTAATGAAAATTAGTTTGGAAGATAACGTAGTAAATCAATATTGTTGTACTTACAATTTTAATTAAATTATGTGATATTATAATTTCCCTATAACAATATAAAAAAATCTGATGTGGTCAGCACATAACCGACCGCATTGTGTATTGTCTAGTTAAATGAAAGTGTTACAGAATATTATAAAAATGTCGGTTAAATACTTCTTTCCAATTTTTAGGACATTAGTAAGCTTATAGTTAACATACTTAGAAAAATGTAAATTTGGCTCTTAGTAGAGTTTCGCTTTGTGCTACCCGAATTCCCTGAAATGCTCGCCAGTTAGTTTCGGTAACAACCAGAACTCAAATATCAAATGTCAAGAAATTCTATCAATTAGTTCCGTAGATATAGTGAAAAATGTAAAATCGGCCCGCTATATAATATAATAGTTATATGTTCATTGCTTTAATACGAAGAACCTCAATATTAAATTTCAATGAAATCGGTCGATTATTTCTCTTTATATACGCAAAAATGTATATTTGGCCCGTAGTAAACGTCCAGTTGCTGACACCTGATTTCTTCCAAAAGTTAGGAGGTTTTGCGGCCGGTTGAGCGAAGCTTATATATGAAATTTCAAGCAAATCGGTTGAATAGTTTCTTTAAAATGATCAAAAATGTAAAACAGGCCCGCTAAAAAGTGCAGTTCCCGAGGCCTGATATATCCTAAAAGTTGATCGATCCGTGCCATGGTGGAAATAAACTTACATATAAAATTTCATAAAAATCGGTTCAGTAGAACTTGAGATACACGCGTGCACACACAGACCGACAGACGGACAGACCGACAGACCGACAGACCGACAGGTTGCTAAAAATAGTTTATTTACACTTCCCTACTATGGAGAAGTGCATTCCCACCGAAAACTCGATATGCAAAATTTGTTGCCATCACATAACCTACCTATTTTATACACAATACGGTCGGTAATAATTGAACGCGATATAGGGTAACGCGATAGGGTAGGCAAATTCTTTCGATGAGACGTAGTTTTAAAATGTTAAAAATTATAATAAATGAAGAGATCGATTTAACTCTTGATCCTGGATGGTTAAATTTGGCGTTAGTGCAGGTACAGAATGTTATGTCGATGGAACTGGATTCACTTATAAAATTCACGTGGAATGATTTACTGATGAATAAAATTATTGAGCACATTATAATATTGCAAAATCATCATAGAAGATCAGCTCTCCTTTTTAACCAAATTCGTACAAATGATTTTAGTATCACTGTTCCAATACTGGTGCAGATCAACAATAACTAAAACACAAATCTCAAAAGTTCTATTTTATTTAAAATAATTTTTATTTTAATAAAATGATAAGATTTTGTAAGTTTATAATTTTTTAAACTGAATTTTTATCATTTGCCTTATTCAATAGGAATAGTCGATAAAGTGGAATTTAGAGAACTGCTATTGTTGGTACTGTTGATGCAACAGCTGGTTGAGTTACTGGTGGAACTGGTCCAGGTTGTGTTGTTGGTGGATTTGGTGCAGGTGGTGTTGTTAGTGGATTTGGTGCCGGTGGTGTTGTTGATGGATTTGGTGCAGGTGGTGTTGTTGGTGGATTTGGTGCAGGTGGTGTGGTAGGTCCAGGTGGTGAAGTTGGTCCAGGTGGTGTAGTGGGCACAGGTGGTGAAGTTGGTCCTGGCGGTGTAGTTGGTCCAGGTGGTGTAGCTGGCCCAGGTGGAGTAGTTGGCCCTGGTGGTGTGGTTGGCCCTGGTGGAGTAGTAGGTCCAGGTGGTGTAGTAGGTCCAGGTGGTGTAGTTGGTCCAGGTGGAGTAGTAGGTCCAGGTGGTGTAGTAGGTCCAGGTGGTGTAGTTGGTCCAGGTGGAGTAGTTGGCCCTGGTGGTGTAGTTGGTCCTGGTGGAGTAGTAGGGCCTGGTGGTGTAGTTGGCCCTGGTGGTGTAGTTGGTCCTGGTGGTGTAGTTGGTCCTGGGGGAGTAGTTGGTCCAGGTGGTGTAGTTGGTCCCGGGGGTGTGGTTGGTCCAGGTGGAGTAGTAGGTCCCGGTGGTGTAGTTGGTCCCGGTGGAGTAGTGGGTCCAGGTGGTGTAGTTGGCCCAGGTGGTGGCGGTGGTGGTGGTAATGGAGGGGGAGGCGGTGGTGGTAGTGGAGGTGGTGGTGGTGGTGGTAATGGTGGTGGTAGTGGTGGCGGTGGAGGTGGTGGTGGTGGTACTGGTGGTATTATTGGAACTGTTGGTATTGGCGGTACAGGAGGTATTGTTGGTGGTATGGGTGTGCTCGGAATAGTCGTTGGTTGTGCTGTACTTGGCGTTATAGGTAATGGAGTTGTTGGTGTTGAAGATAGTGTACCAGCAGTTGGTAAAACAGATTCTATTGTAGGAAAGTTTAATGGGGAAGGCGGTAAAATTCTAATTGTTGCTGGTTTTGAAGTTGTGTTAAATTTTTCAAAAAATATTGGTAAAAACCGTCCTTCGCCTTTATTATCCAAGTTTTTAATATCATTATACGTTCTCTTTTTAAATGGGAAAAATTTTGTCCTGCCTTTTGTTTTACCTAAAAGCAAGTAATTAATTGTATTTTTTTTTTGTTTCTTTTAATATGATTTTATTCAGAGGTGTGCTGGTAAAACGATTTTAACACGGTCACATATTATTATGATAGATAAAACAATATCGTCATATTAACACTTAGTATAAAAATAAATACATTATCAATAATAAAGATGAGATGGTCAATAATAAAATATTTTAATACAAGAATTACTATTAGCCCGTATATTATACTCTTCGATAATGGATCAATTAAATTATGGATGTATCGAAGTACAGTTAGTATTAAATTGCTCGAATTTTCGTTGGTTATAAATTTAATTGTTATATTTTCTGAACGTAATTTTTATGTCGTTCAAATGTGAGATACCAGAAAATAATTTAAAAAAAAAAACACGGTAAGTTTTTAATACGATCTTTAACTACCAAACTAATTGGTTCAAGAAATTATCGAATTGGTTTAAGAAATTTATCTGTCACTTTTTAGCACGATTTACTGAAAATCTTTGAGTAGACCATAGAACTTTCGATCGATCTTCAAAGATTATAATAAATTATGATATTTTTTATTTTTCTACTCATTAGGGGATAATATTATACAGTCCGATTTTCGGTAAGGTTCACGTTTAGATGCTCATAGGTAAAAGCTGCGTCGTACATATCCTTGTAATTGAGTTTAAGGTGGTGTATGCTTTTACTTTTGAATTTAAACATTTTGAATTATATAAAATACTACTTTGATATTCGTAATTTATTAAAAAATTTAAATAATAGATTTTATTATGAAAAAATTTCTCGAGCACACCTCAGACGAATACAAATCAACATTTTAATTACCCGGTATTTCACTGTTTATTTGGAGAATAACGACTAATATAATGAATATATTGATTTTGTTCATTGTTAAATTATTTATTTTAAAAAGGTACTCAGTTTTAATTGAATAAACTAAACTATATTACTTAAAGAAGATACGTCTTTTTGATACAAAATTAAATATAGAACTGAAATTTTTCGAATAATGTGAGCTTTAATATAAAATAAAAAATTAGGATTTCTATTACTTATCTTAAAAAAATTTGAGTATATTGATCCATTTAATTTTTCAAAATTTGGTAAAAAATGAAGAGCAGAATAATATCTTGTATAATAATGTGACATTTATGACTTAGAATTTTAGTAAAAACACTAAATCTTTTTTATTTTTTCTTCGATATTATTTTACAAACTTACATAAATGCCTACAGAAAAAAACCCAAAAAATAACATATAACATAGCCTTAGATATAACTTTTCTTAACCGAGAAAAAAATTCAATTCTATTAGGTTCGAAAATTTTAATAGTACCTAATTCCAAAAATTTTTATGTTGGAAATTTTGAAATAAAAATTTTAATCATATAAAACCCAGGAAGCCAAAATTTCAAAAATTTTAGCAAATTCCAAAAAACTGATATCATTTATGTTCTGTGTTATGATCATTACTTTAAGTCACTCATTATGCTTATAAACGAGTAGAAAAGCGTAAGAAGCTTTTTGCTTCTTGCTAGTTGGTTAATCAACATGACACTCATGACTTTTCAGTTATATTTTTAATAATTTATAGAGCAATTTGGAAGAATATGCTTCGTTTATTCCAGAATTATTTTATGGATTGTTGCTCTATATAATAAAATACTGTACGTAGCTCGTGTTTACAAAAATTTTATAACATCAAATGTTGCCTGGTTTTATGTCTGCTTGTTTTCGCTTTTATAAATATAGGGTGTGTTTTTTTTTTTTATATGTGAATTTTGATTTTTCTTATATTTTGCTCACTTTTTGGCATACATGATTTGCTGTGGTAAATCTTTTGGAATAGACTCGCTACCATAAGCCTTTAAATATAAATTTGAATAACATTACCAAACCCCTCAATTTACTTTTATACATCAACTATTTGCTTTATAGATTTAAACTTTATTGTTATTAAAAAAATAACATTATTTTAAAAAAATAAATTTATCAAATTACTTCAAATAGACCACTCACTTGATTCTTTTGGAATCTAAGCTCTTAATGTTACTGGTGACACGCGGTTAACAATATTCTGCAAAATGCGACATTTCCATTAGCTAAACTCATGTATTCCACCATTTTAAAAATTTTTTAAATATTTCTAAGCTGTATCGTATATACTCAAAAAAACAACCTATAAATATTTAACTTATATTTACATTTAAAAAATTTTTAAATTCACGTTTTTATTATTTTATAAATGTGATTTAGAACAATGTAGAGCCATAAATATAACAGTTATATTGGGGGATTCTAGACATGAGTTATACAATAATACTTTTTCGTTTTCTAAATAAAAGATGGAGGTTACTGAATTCTAAATCTATTATTCGTCGTATAATTTTCATATAATTTTTATAAAAATACTTACGATTATGTATAAAATATAATATATACATATATATTTATAATACAAGAATGATTGATCCAAGAGGTTATTGTAGATGTCAACCTTTTCTTTTAAATTTCATTAAAAATGCTTATGATTAACAAGCGATAGTGTAATCAATATGTCCCGTCGCTTGAATAAAAACTTGTAGTATGTACAAATTTTTCATTTTCCATTTCAAATTTTGGGACGTGCTGTAATAACTTGGGTGCCTATCATTATATGAGAAATTTTGCGTTAATCTGTTGTTTTATGTGCTTTCGTCGATTACTGCTAAGTTACTATTATTCATGTTGCATTTGAAGTTATACAAAATTTTTTTTTTGAACTATAATTTTCACAGTATCTATGTAGCTACTTAAATATTCTTTTATGCAAATTAATTGTTTAGTTCGAAAAGTTGCAGTAGGCAAATAACTTTCTCAACAAAAATAATAGATTCATAAAACCAACTCACAGCCTCGGATTAGTGGCGAGGTTATGTGGAGGCCCTATGTTCCCTCTGGGAACTTTGAAGGAAAAAAAAATGAATTTGAATAATTATATTCCTGTTAATTACCATACATTTACGATTTACAGAAATTGTACCTTAAAATCTATAAAACCTTATTACTGAAAAACAATGTTTTCCAACATACAACAACAATCTACTAAAGCGGCTGTGAATGTAAATTTATTGATTATGTCCAAAATGGAATAATTGGAAAATCCAAACTTTAATATTTGTGTTCAGTGTAGATGGATCCGACTAAAGAATCGACTCAAATGTATGTATTATTTTTTTAAGATTTTAAACATGAAAGTTCTTTCTATTTGGTTTTGAAAATTTTTTTTTCTTACTAAAGAAATTGAAATTTCCACTCCCTAATTAAATTATGATTCAATTCTAAAACGATAAAAACAAATTATAATTGATATAGATGGCTATTGACAATAATGTCAATTCAAGAATATTACAGTTAAAATTCTAGTTATTATTTTTTTTTTTATTTTGTATTCATTCAGGCAATAGTTTGCTTTATGGTAGCTTTCAAAATTCTTCAAATAGTTTGTTTATTGTTGGTTTATTTGTTTTTGATATTTTAAGTACAGGTGCTCTTGAATAGTGCTTTTAAGTACGGCTGCTCTTAAATAATGATCATAAAAGTGTTACATGTAGAATAAATCAGTTACAAAATGAAAAATAGAAGCGTGATTACTTGAATACATGTTTTAATTAATTTAAATTTTATACTCAATTATTGTTATAAATGTTTATTGTATAAAAGTGTTTATGTAAGTGTAATAAACACTTGAAATAATTTGCATGAAGAAATCTCCTATAATCAACCCTCTTTTTTTTGTATAGGCATATTCGTGTTAAAATAGTCGCCCTTCTGTGGTGAATGCAATAGACAAAATTCAATGAAATTCTACTGTATTTCTTCCGTAGTTTCTCTGAAGTTTGTTTATTTAAAAATGTCCTCTGTTTTATGGAAATGGAATATATTCAAAAGTCTTCATTTTTAAGATCTTGTTTGTGTTGGCACGATAATATTCATGATCCGAACAAAATTGTCCTGGTAAAGTGTGAATATCGTCGTCTATTATATCGTTGAACAATAATCACAGAGGTAGTATTTTTCTAACGTTCCTTCCATTTCTGTATTGCCTTAATTTGTACGCCCTAGCCCAATCAAGGTGATATTCATATTTATAAAACTTTACTCTTAAAAATTTGATCTCTTTCCTATTTCATGTAAACTTATAATTCTCAAGATTTTCATTGAACAATTTTTTCACAAACCATTGTTTAAAAGTTTATTCTGAATCTTAGTCTATATTTCAATGCCAAATACATACAACCGTATGTGTGCCCATTATTACTAAAGCTACTAAAAGAAAAGCTACTCAAAATTTTTTAACAATAATATTCGGATATAATAATTACGATAAAAATATTGCTATAAATTTTTCTCTCTTTAGAAAATGGTGAACCCAGGTAAAAATCATAAAATGTTTGTATGAGAATAATATCTTATAACTTATTTTTTCAAAAAGCTGTTTTAAATAACATGAAAATCTGTTAAGTTTCTCCGATATCTACATTCTCATAAGAACAGAATTCAGAAACAAGTTTATTATATTATTCATTATAGTTATTTTGCATACTTTAAGGAGTATGGAGAAACAAAAACTTCACAAAAATTCTTAATATATATTTTTGGTTATTAATTTAGAATGCTAAATAGAAGCCTTTATATATAGAAGAATATAAAAATTCAGTTAATTTTAGTTAGATTTTAAATTAGTATGAATGCATGGTTATTTTCTGGGGTATACGTGTTTTTGTTGGAAACAACATAATAACAAAACAAATAATATGGTTTTTTTATAACAAAAATCTTATATATGAAAATTAAAGTGTATGTTTGTAAACTCTGTTAATAAAACTATTAGGAAATCCTTATAAAGCTTCGGGAATGCCTTGAATTTATTCAAATATGGTTTATGAAAAAAAATTCTGTTCACTTTCAAAAACTATGCTAAAATAGTAAAAATTGCCTGAAATAGTTTTTACCATCCGTATTGCATACAAATAAGGAAATTTTATGTACAGGTGCTTTTCTATCAAGATTTGGGATTTTGGTGGGAAACCACCTATAAATTTGTTAATAGTGATGTGCTGAACATATCAGTTATAGTGGAAGTATTCCAGGTCTCCAACATATTATTGAAAAAATTTTTGTGTAAAATAAAAATTAATTGTGTGGATTACGATTTTTCTATGTTGCAATGCTTTTCAGATGACGTATAATTAGCAAGATTATCTTGAATTTTATTTTGCATCAACCATATTGTGGTTAACACAAAATCTCCGTGACCCTTCTATATTCAAAACTCTTTTCCATATGCTACTTTGTATTGGTTCTTTATTCCTAAATCCCAAGTGTAGGTGGTATACGAAAGTCCAAGCAGTATATAGGTTACACATTAAAAGAAATTGAGAGCATATCGATTCAGCCAATATAATTTTACTAATTAGGTACATATGAGAATTTTTCGATAATCATTAATATTTTATATTTCTAACAAGCACCGTTATTTTGTAATACAATGAACCCGTTTTGTTTATTCATCGTTTAAATTTGTGTTTAAAATTAAATGAGAATCAGATATGGAAACCGGTTTTAGAATAAAAATAACAGTGATAACAAAAACAAAAATTAAAAAAATTTGTTTATGGACCTACCAAAAATCACTGGCTTTTATTTTTAATTAAAAATTTCTAACAGGGTTATATAATTTTTGCCTCTGGCCTACGGCCTAGTCAACTAAATTATCACATAATATGCAATTCAAGACTAATAATTGAAGCAGATGCAATGATTAAAGTTATAACCATGTTTCAACAAATAAAATTCTTTAATAAATTGAGTTCTTTGATAAATCTTAACATTTTTATTTTAATTTTTCTTCTATTCTTTGTTTGTGACGTAGTTATTTCTGTTTATAATCAATCAGGCATTAATTATAGGTTAAGAATGCGTCAGTAAAGCGTGTGTTCATAAATTAGTTTTTAATTATTTCAAAAATATTTCGATATTTTGTTTTTGGCAGAAGTCTTTGACCTTAGAAAAGAAAAAGGCAATAATAAATTAAATAATTATTTTATAAGTTTTTATTCATATACACACATATACGATTAGCTACTTCGGAATAGAATCCATCAATCATTTACTGTAGAAAGAAATTGTTGGTTTCGATTTATAAGGGACTGTTGAATTGAAAATTATGCGTGGAAGAAAAAAATCTTACTCTATTTAGAGTCTCGAAACAAAAGATTGGTTACTATCATACCAAAAATCATGTAAGTGAAATATGAGCCCAGAGCTTATGAGCTATTTAAAAAATAATTGCATTATGTCTGTAGATGCAATCTTCATAATTCCAATTGTAACAAAATAAATTAAAGCTGTTACAAGAAATAAAGGAAATTTGAACAAATTTATTTTAGAATTTTTCCTATAACAGTCTAAGACTTAGGAATTGGTCAAAACTTTTGAATTTACTTGATTTAAGCGTTAATTTATTCTTGTTTTCAGTAATTTTTGTTACGCCGAAAAATTGATCTGTTATAAGATTTTCTACAATACTAAATAAATGTAAAATTTTTATTTTAACGGAAATGACGTATTTTCTACATGATGTGTTCTTGATCATCCATCCGGTCAAATTTGTCCTTCAATTAATATCATGGTTAAAGTACTGCGACGGTTTACTAAAAAATATATTGTAGAGTTCATATTTTTTAGATGATAGAAACATTGTTTTCATATTTTTTAAAAAGATTTTCCATATTTATTTCAGATTTAAGATAATTACAGTTATTCGCCAATTTCAAGGTTGTCATTCCATTTTCATAAAAAAAAATTCATAATTTATACTGGATTTATACTGGAACTGTAGTTGGAACAGTTGTTGCAGTTCCCGGCGGACTTGGACTAGTTGGCGGTGGTGGTGATGTCATTGTTGGTGGTGAAGTTGCTGGTGGACTAGTAGTTGGTGGGCTAGTTGTTGGTGGGCTAGTTGTTGGTGGACTTGTTGGAGTCATAGTTGGAATTGTCATAGTCATTGGAGCTGGTGTAGTCGTTTTAAATTTATTTATAAATCGTTTACGATCATTATCAATATTGTTGTTGTTGTTGTTGTTGTTATTACGATTATTATTAGCTTCATTCATTCTTCTTCTAAATGAATTATATCGTCGATTGGATTGAAAATCTCTATCTGAAAAAAAGAAAAAAGAAAATATTGAATTATTTAATATTATAGACTATATAATGATTCCTGAAAATGGAAAAAATATTCATTCTATAATACTCTTCGTTTTTTAATATCGTAATCGCTTGTAATACTAATTCAATTCAGCTTATGAATGTTAATTGTTAAGTGAGGTTCCAATGTGGTATTTCATCTCCGATATCGGGGTGAATAAATAAACTTATGGAACTAATCCAGCTTATCGCGACATTTTGATAAAGATATATCGTAAAAATTTTTAAAATATTTTAACATGAATAAACGGTTTTGGACAAAATAATTTGATTTCAATTAAATTAATCATTTAAGTAAGGTTTCAATTTTAAGTTTTGTTGGAAATCATTACTGCGTAATAGTTATACTGCATGTGGAATTAGTTCTCAACCTTACTTGACTAGCTTTGATGACTTTAATCTTTGGTAATCCAAGAACGTTAACTTTTAAAAATACGTTAAGTTGGCTGTGGAGCAGACTTATTCAACTTATTTAACATAGTCTATTTTTGGATATTATAGAATAAGACTTACCACGAGAACTGTTTATGGTTATTATTGAAATTAGAACAATACAAATAATTAATTTTGTTCCTTTCATCTTGCACAGAATTAAAAAAATTTTAGTAAACGTTTTAGGAATAAGTTACGTCTATTTTCTATAAAATATTTTTGTTGACTAAATCCAAGTTGGAATTAATTTTGCAATATAATATAGAAAATTTAGAATTTTAGAAAGATGAAAAAAAAAAATTTATTTTGTATTTTTTTTTTGTTTTTTTTTTTGTTAATGAATATTAAAGAGCAAAAGAAATTATCACCAACATTAAGGTGCCCATTAAAATAAAACAAACGATTTTACATTGGGAAAAAGAATGTTATAAAACCAATGAGAAAAATTTACAATTATAATTAATTTATCGCGAAAATTTATTTCAATAGTATGTAAGAGCTAGTTGTGAGTGAGCCCAAATAAAAACATATTTTATTAAAAACTTTTATATAGAGAATTTTGCACAAAGAGGTGTTGGTCTTTTGAAAAAGTGTTATAGTTGAATATATATAAAAAAATAGCAAATTTTGCATGACTTGAAAGCACCATTTGTGAGATATTATTAAAAGAACACCGCAATCAGCTTGCTTCGTTTCAAATAGCAGCTATTAAATATTTTTACATCATACATTTATGGATATTGTTCATGAATTTAAGACATTGTGATTTTTTCAATAGCAATATTCGTCTATATGCAATTCTATGAAGAAATCTTCGTTGTTTATTTCTAAATATGAAGAAAATTACATTTCTTATATAAATCTTACGTTAATAGTGCTATAGAAAATATAACAATTGCTGCTCTTTTATTAGATTGGCTTTAGTTTTTAAAAGAAACGCCAGCGAAAGCAACCTAATGATTTTAGAGCTGAAATACTAAAATGCGGAACAAAGTAACTAAAATCCATGTGATAGTTTATTAGTAAGTTACTGAAAATTTGGATTTTCGTATGGCAGCTTTGACTTTCGTATGGCATAATATTTATAATATATAAGTCAACATTTAGGCGTGACTTTTGCGAAGCACTATGTCTTGGTTTTGTACATGCTTAGGAGTAGTCATTTTAATCTTTATTGCTACAAATTTATTTCACGAAACAAAAAATATAAAATTTTTTTTATGAAATATTTTAGTCATAAATCTAAGGAGGCCAAATTTTATTTTAATGTCGTAAATAGCAATAAACCAATAGCAATAATTTTCAATTACTCTAAAATAATTTGAACATGCCTACATATTAATTTATAAAGCAATAAATTTTATTATAGTTTTCAAGATAATACCAAATATTTTTTGCATATGCTTAGGCGTCACAAAAACTTTTTCCAAGTTGAATTCACTTCATTCTTTCTATTTGATAAGAATTGAAAACTATTCTTAAAATACTGCAAAATAAAGAAAAGTGGAATGAACTAATAAAATTAAAAATAGCTTTACAAATTTAATTTCCGTTTCAATTCTGAAAGAGTATTATAGTGATCTTTATGAACACTATACCTTTATTTGGGACGCCAATAATAAAAATACGCTAGAATTATGGTGAATCAAACAAATTCATATTGTGAATCGTGCTGTAAATTAAGGATAACATAAAATTTTTAAATAATTTTTATTCCTTCCATCTTAATGTCTGCATTGTAGTTTGTGCTCATATTCAGGGCTGTTGTGCTCACATTCAGAACATTTGACATTGAATATTTGCATAAGGTTAATGTTTGTGAGTTAATAGAACGTATACGAGAACTGGTAATTGAGCAATTCACCATGTCATTTAAGTCAAACAAAAAAAAATTTAGTACACATATTCGCAATTAATTTTATTGCTATTTTGATTGGGAGATTGGGATCAACATAAAATTCGGAAAAGATTTTTTACATGTTATATTTTGGGAAAAAAAAAAAACAAAAGAATATCTTGTATTTATAACGGTTTGCAAACACAAACCCAATTTTAATTACAAAAGAAACACAAAAACAGCAAAAAAGAAAAGCAAAATATCCAATGACGTCAATGTCTTTGATAGATTAATTTAATAAACATTAAAATAATGGATCCCAAAAATTAATCTTGTCATAGAAAAGACGAAAAAAAAAACAGAAAAAATTAGCAAAATCTTAAAATTTTATTGGTAGACTAAGAAAAAAAATCTGTTTTAATAATGAATTCGCGTATAATAAATCAAATCGACAACAAAAAAAAGTTTCTCAAACGCACGTGTGTTACATTTTTTACACAAAACGTGCAATACCTTTTAAAACTTAGACCTGATTTTCAAATGCAAAATGCTAGACATGGAAAATGCATGAATTAGACGAAAATCGAAAAGCGAGTTTAGTTATTCTTATTGCAAAATTCCTAATTAGTTTTCCCAAAAGAACAAAGTTAACCATAATTTTGCATTTGTTTATGACCCCTAATTGCTTTCGATAAATAATGGATTCTGTTAAATTATACAAGTGTTCAATAAAAATTGTGGCAAAGAGCTATTAGCTCGTTCAAGATCTAACAAGATCTAAGATCAAAATTTTTATGTGCACTAAATAAAAATGTATATTTTGCACATATTCCCAAAAATGCTTCTGGTGACCCTGCTGCTAATTGAGGTTTCCAAGTTACAAGGATAGTTACTGATTGGTTTTTGCCGCAATATTCTGTCAGGTATGTTGGTTTGCTAAAACATAAATATTATAAAAATAATACAAATATTTTTATTATTATTGTTTATTAGGTTTCCAAATACAAACAGTGTTATTAATCTAAAATTGTCGGATAAAATTGCATTCCACATTATTGATTTTAATTTGGTAACATTTTTTACAACCTTAAAATTAATATGAAATGCTATTTTCCATTATATAATAAAATTTGATTAACCATTAGGTGTTGTAGGTGGAAATGTTGGAATTGGAGGAGGTGGTGGAGGAGGTGGTGGAACAGGGGGTGGAGGAGGTGGTGGAGCTGGTGGAGGAACAGGAGGTGGAGCAGGGGGTGGGGCAGGTGGTGGAACTGGTGGTGGAACAGGTGGTGGAACTGGTGGCGGAACAGGTGGTGGAACAGGTGGTGGTACTGGTGGTGGAACGGGCGGTGGAACAGGTGGTGGAAAAATAGGTGGAATAATAGGAGTTGTTGGGGTTGTTGGTGTAATTGGTGGAATTGTTATTGTTGTAGGTAATGGCGATGGAATTGGTATAGTGATTGTTGATGGTGCTCCAGTAGTAGTTGAAAATTTATTCATTATAAATGGTAAAAAACGTCCTTCAATAGAATCAATTTCATTTAAATAATTTTTTCTTCGGAATGCATTGTATTTGCGATTATATCGAATATTTTTCACTAAAATAAAAATACAAAATTTAAATTCTCTTATTTGTTATCCTTTTTTTTAACAATTCAATTACCTGAAAGGCTATGCGCCGTTTTCATTAAAATTAATACGATAAAAATTGATGTAATCCTCATTGTTCCTCTCTTATTTGTAATAATTCGAAAATATTTTAATTAATTTCATATTATATCACGAAATTGTCGAAGTCAATATTCAATTCAGTAGTAATTTTTTTTTATTAGGAATACGTCGTTCTGCTGGTAAAAATATTTATAGACTGAAAGATAACTGAGAAATTTATTTTTCGTCTTATGCTAGAAAGAACGGTGATTATTTCGATTTGTTTTTTTTTTTTTTATGATTGTCTGAAACTTTTATTTTTCGCAAAAAAAAAAAGACTATTCACATTGTAGAATAGAGGAGGGAAGTTTCTTTAACCTAATATTTTGAATAGAGTTTTCGCTAATATCATATGGGAGAAGTTGGTGCTGTGTTAAAGCTAAATGATTTAAAATCCGAAATCCTGAAGCCAAAAGAACGAAATTTGTCTCATTTCAATTTTAGAATAAGAATTCTTTCCACGTTCAGCCCTCTTCATACCTATGCGAGAAATAAGACTTAGGGATTCTTCGTGCAATCTACTTATGGGATTGCGCTTTTTTGAAGAAAACCAAGCTCTATTAAAAAAATCTCTAATTTTCAACATATTCCCAAAAACTCAAATTCAAATTCATTTCAATTGGCTAATCCCAAAAATTGATAAAACCATCTCATCGTCGATAAAAGCTCATATATAAATTTTCGTGAAAATCGATTTACCCGAACTTGGGATACTGCGCAGACAAAACGGACAGACATACAGAGATCTGTAAAAATAGTTAATTTATGCTTCCCCAAAGAAACACATTTCTGTCGAAAGCTCGACATGTGAAATCGGGTGCCATCACATAACCTCCCTTATTGAACGGAATGCAGTCGGTAATATAGTTATTTATCTTATTTAACTCACTTACTTACTAAACCGTCGAATTCGGCCATTATATTGAAGATTCTTTCAGTCTTTTTTATGTTAGCCTAAATATATGCAATATTTTAGTAAATCAATGGAAGAGTGCTACTTTAGCATCTATTCGTATGATCCGAATTTACTTATTTTGGTCGGATTTATAAGAACAAAGAAAATTTTTCTTTTAACATAATCGTAAAAAATGTATCAAATTTTGAATAATTTATAAGTATACCAAATTACAGCCCTAGATAACATACTATCACATGGTGTGATCTACTTTATCATACACATGGCAGTTATTTTTATACGAAAGTTAATATTTTTTACTATTCGTAATTATATGCAAAATTTGTAACTATTTTGATGCTAATAAATTTTAGGAAACTTTTATTTCAATCGTCTTACGTTTTATTTCAATCCCGTGATATCGTAACACAATAGAATAATTTTTTACGATATGCACAAAAATTTTATGTTTGTTAAAGAATTAGTGATTCTTTAGAATTGCTTATAAAAAAAAAAATACTTAGTTATAGAGTTGATCTTGAACATTATAGGGTGGGATTTAGTTCTTTTTCTTGTATTGGATAAAAATATTTACCAGTTTTCAATAAATTTTTTAATACTTTTAAAGAAAATTTTTTGAAAACTCTTTTAATGAAATCATTTGAAGTTTCTAACTTAAGTCTTTTGTTTCTTGCATTTGGTTTACCTTCTGATTTCGTCTAATATTTTAGAATTCCAAAACTCTCCTCATACGATTTCTTATTTAACACATTCCTTTTAGTGTATTTTGATCTTTTTACATGCGTCTAAGTACAGCAACCCAATTGGAATAGCAGAATAATTATTGTTGAAGCACCTGTTGCCTGCAGTGTGTATATAGGAATAACACTCTCTTCACATAGGAAAAAAAATTTTGGAAATTTTGCTCAGGCCGCATTAGAAACCAATTACCAAAGGAATATTTTTCATATTTTGTAAAATCTTCTCTAATATTTAAAACGAATAATGATTTTCGAAGAACGTTTGCTTAAAATAATTTTTATTTTTATTAATGGGATTGATTTTTAAACTTTTGAAAATTGGAGATTTGCGAAAAGCGCAAAAAAACAATATGTAAATAATTTATGAGAATGGTGGAAGCGAAAGAAAAAACTAATAAAACTCTGTCACCTTCTGTTTAATGTGATTTTTTCATTTCTATTGTAAATCATTTTGTGATTGTAAGACGTCTGCAATTAGCAAAAGAAATACAAAATATTTGAAAATTAAAATTTTTAAGTTTTTATTAAAATCAATCAACTTACAGCCTACGGCTCAATTCTTTAAACTTTAATTCAAACATTCTAAATTTCATTTGTTTTCTTGTTTTTTTTTTTGGAGAATGATATAGTTTCAAAAATATTTAAATATAACTTGATGGATGTGTTAGTGTTGAGGTGGTTGTTGTAGGAATTACTGTGGGACTTGTATTAGGAGTTGTTTATGATGACATTGTTGGTATTAATGGGGGTTTTACAATGGGACTTGTAGGAGGACTTGCATTTGGAGTTGAAGGTGTAAAAGTTGGTGGAATAGTTGTTGCAGTTGGACTTATTGGGATTGGCACGGTAATTGTTAGCGGTGCCCCTGTTGTTGTTGTAAATTTATCCATTATCATTGGGATGAAACGTCCTTGAATACCATTATCTTTATTTGTATGTATTTTTTCACGAAATATCTTATAGTGACCATTGTTTTTGTTATTCTTAACTAAAATCATTTTAAATGAAAAATTAAAAAAAAATTTTTCCTTACATTTTCAGTAAGTGTTTGTTACCGGAAATGCAACTTATTACATTGACCAATAAAAGAAGGTATATTGTTACTTTTATGCTTTTCATTTTGGAAATATTTTTAATGATTTTAACGTGATTCTCATGGAATCTTTACTTTTTGCAGAAAGATTCGGATTGTGATGCAGTACAAATTTTTTTCAATCCTCACAAAACTTTTTGACAATTCGTACAAATTAACTAACTAAATTGTTTAAATTATTTTTCAAAACTAAAATTTTTTATATAAAATTTTTAGCTTTTATTTACAAAAGAAATGAAAGTTAGGACGTAGTCTTCAAAATAATGAAAATATTTTCTTCTTCTTTATTACCCTTAACTATTAAAATTGAAAATTTTTGAATAAGCTATTAAATTTATTATAAAAATATATAAACATTAATAAAACAAAAAATATTTTGAAATACACTGTACAAAATTATTGAAGAAAGTGAAACTATAATCTTGTGATTGAGATCATGTTTTGTTTTTAAATAGAGTCACAAAGTATATTTTAAATTTAAAAATGTTGACTAATGATAATTCCTTTTTACAATTGCAGAACAGATGAATAACGTAATCAAAGGACCAAGTCAAGGAACGAGTCAAAGTAGAAAAGTTTAAAAAAAAATTTTCCTCGAACTGAACTCGCACCAGTGAAATACCGCTTTCTAAACGGACGCTCTAGGCCAATAGAGTTACAGAGGTATGAAGAAGCATGTGAGAAGAGGTATGCATTTTTTTAAAGTGTGAGACATAGAGGAAAATGCTATATTATGAGTTAACTTTTAGCTTTCGTCGTAGCGCATCAAAAAAAAATTAATAACAAAAATTTTCGAGTTTTTTAAAACAAAATTTAAAAAAAAAAACCAAAAATTCTGATTTTGACGCGCTGTATTCCAAAAATTATGGCTCAAATAAAATTAATTGTAACATCAAAAATAAAGATCAATCAATCCCCTTTAAAATAAGCTTCAAATGATTCCTCTATGTTGCATGGTTCCGAAGTAATAAGCGTTTAAATAAATATATGCATGGAAAATCTGCTACCATTTTTTAACAGGCTGTAGCTTGAAAACAAGTTCCTCCTCCCGTTTATAAAAATTTTTGCTAGAAATTGATCAAAGAATCATCCCTGAAATTATTTGCCACCCTACGCGAAGCACCCTGTATAATACTTTTTTACGCCACTTTACTTGAAATTCACCATAAAAATGCGAAAGATGATTTTCTCACTGAAAGAAATTACACACTATTTTCAAAAAATTTCACACTATCAGCGTAATAATGCAGCTTGCTAGAAGTTTTACTTCATGTATAATATAAATAATTATTGTAAATCACTCTAGATTAATTTTTAAATTGCATAATTTCTTATTTTAGCAATAAAATATAATAATTAATAAATAAATGACCTCCTTATCACAGCAACAGGAACTACTCATATTAAGTATGAGTAATTACAAGTAATTACTCTTAACAAACACCAAGGGATAGTGACGCAAAACTATTAACACTATAAAGTAAGTGTGTTCTTTCAATATTTTTTTTGTTATTCTTAATTACACTTTAAACTTGAACTCGTTATTATTAAAGTTGGCAACACTTTTTCAATATAAAACAGAATAACATTTTTTGCTCGGTATAAATATTTTTAGGTAGTTTATTTCTGAGTTTAAACAGAAAATTTAGAAAAATAATTGACATATTTATTGCTAATGAGAACCGATAAAATATTTTCAAACACTTTAAGAGCCGCATTTGATTTTCTTTTAAATTGCCATCTCTAACAATTGGAATCAGCTATCAAAAAGAAAAACACGATTTCAAAATATTTTTTTTTTATTTCAATATAAAAAACTCGAAATCATAAGCATTATTAAACAATCAAAAATTATCCGGCCGCAATTTTATCCTCCTGGAGTTGTTGGGGGGAAAGTTGGAATTGGTGGTGGTGGAGTTACTGGTGGTGGTGGAGTTACTGGTGGTGGTGGAGGAGATGTTGTTGTTGGTGGTGATGTTGTGGGACTTACAGTAGGTGAAGTCGGTGGGAATGTTGGCGGAAAAGTCGGCGGAAATGTTGGTATAGGTGGCACAGTTATAGTTGTAGGGACTGTTGGTATCGGAACAGTAATTGTCATAGGTGCTCCGGTTGTTGTTGTAAATTTATCCATTATCATCGGAATGAAACGTCCTTGTATACCATCATCTTCATTTAAATGCATTTTCTCACGAAATATTTTATAACGACCATTATTTTTCTTATTTTTAACTATAAAATAATTTTATTTTAAAATTTTAAAATTTATTGAACTATTAATTGATAATTAAATGATATTTTATTACCGGAAATACAATCGATTACTTTCACCATAAATAGAATGCATATTATCACTTTTATATTTTTCATTTTAAAAGATTTCTGAATTTTTCTTTAAAGTGTTTAAAATTTTAATTAGAATTTTTATAGCTTATAATAAAACGTCTTAGTTTATCAATAGTTTTTATGCAAATGACTCGATGGTTAAAAATTAGTTTTAAAACTAACACAATTTAGGGGAAATTCTTAATTTTTATGCACAAGTGGAATGAAAGTTAAGGAAAAATATGTACAATAACAAAATCATGTTTTCTGTCTTTTTGCTTGTTGTTCTTTGTTGTTAGAAAACAAAATTCTTCAAACAAGAGGGTTATTAATCACTTTGGAGATAATTTTTCTTGCAGAACACTACAATGTAGGACAAAATTATTGTGCTGCTTATAATTCGTCTATGTTTTTAGTTCGATGCGCATTTGAATAGTAAATAATTCTTTTTTTTTCTCGGAATAAAATTTCTGGTTATTTCTGCGATTTTTTCGGAATAAAACAATGCGGAAATTGGAAAAATCTAAGGAGTGTTGAACTAACTCGTGATTAATTGTGAATAAATTGTATAAAGATGTTGTGATTTATAGTGTAGAATCAAGATAGATAAAACTATAGCTACTTCACCTTTGGAAAGCACTTTAAATAACTTTAAAGAAAGTAAAAAAGTCAATTGTAAATCAGAGTTTCTAATATTCTATTAAATCTAGCAGTAAACGTAATCTAGTAAAAAAAACGGGAACAACTAAGAACCCAAGTAACCGTCTTCAACTATTATAAGAACAGTGAAAATACTCTGATTTAAGTACGACGATCTTTCATACAAGGCTCAAATTATTTGAAAACTAAAGGACATTTATAGCCAAGACAAAATTTTGAAGTTTTAATAATGGAAAAAAAAACCTGAAAACTAATTAAAAATAAAGATACTATTTGGAGTCCATTTTAAGAGAATGCGAAACATGATGGAAAGAAGGACAGAAATCTGTCAATTATTGTCTGGAGTGTAGTGAAATGAGAAAGTATCTAATAAATGAGTAAGAAATAATAATTTAGTTTATGCTGCAACATTTTGGAAGTAGATTTACCAGGCAATTAGCCTTTTAATTTGCCTGATTGGGAACAGGAATGAAAAATGATCAGGACAACCGAGGAATCAAAAACGAATAGACGTGGGAAGAGTCTAGAAACTGAGAGTGTAAGGAATTTGCCATATCTTAGAAAGGAAAATGCCTATAAAATAGATTATTTAAAAAACTCTTCAGAAAATAAATTTTTTAATATTCTAATGGAACATTTTAGAATTAAAGTTTTAACTTATGTTGAAAATGAAAAACTGTTCCGGGGTTTCTGCAATTTTAAAAACTTCAATTTCTTTTCCATTTTCGATAGTCATAATTTTATGTTTCTTTGTACTAAACTTTATTCTTTAGAATGCATTCCTACAATCTATATTTAAGCCAAGAGACTAGGATCCCTTGAAGTCATGCTAACTAATATTCTTATTTGTTTAAGCTGAATTTGTAAGAACCCTTTAAGTAAGAAGAAGAAAAGAGAGAGAGAACTCTTTGTTCTTTAATAGTACATATTTCTCTTTTATAAAATTAATAACTGCCTTGGGTAAAAAAGTGCAAAAGGAAAAACGAAATTACAATTTGTTTTTTTTTTTTCTAAATTTAATTTCCACTTTTTTTTTTAATTTATTTGTCAATCATTATTAATATTTTCGCCTTAAATATTCATAAATAGAAAATCAAATAATAAAATAATTTTTTTATCCACTATTTGGTACTGTAACTGTTGTAGGTGTATTAGTTGGTATTGTTATAGTTTGTGGGGCTGGTGTCGGACCACTTCCTGGTTTACCACTTGAAGGTGGTGACATTGGTGGTAATGTAATTGTTGTTGGTGTTGTTGGAAGTGGAATTGTTATTGTCATCGGTGCACCAGTTGTTGTTGTAAATAAATCCATTATTAATGGTATAAAACGTTCCTGATAATTTTCTTCATCATTTAAATGCAACTTTTTACGAAATGTTATATAGCGGCCATTACTTTTATAATTTTTAACTACAATATAGAAAATGAAGAGTAAATTTTCATGTACAAAATTTTTTTTTAATATTTACCAGAAATACAATCAATAATATTCACTAAAATCAATACATAAATTATGAAATTAAATTTTTTCATATTTAAAAAAATTTTTTCTTTAAAATTTAAGTTTTAATTTTTAATAATTTAATAAAAAATAAATTTTTGCTTTGAAATAAAATAAGGTTTTAAAACTGTTTAAGTTACGAGAGAAAAACGTCCGTTTTATAGAAAGTTATTTTTAAAACTGATAACTTTTAGGGTTTCATATTCTTTGGGTCATGTCATTTACAACAGAAATGAAAGTATGAGAAATTCGATATTAAAAATAGCAGAGACAAAAAAAAATTTTTTTTTTTTTTTTTGCTAATTTATATTTAAAAATATTTGTATGAAATTTGTGTCAAGAATTAAAATATTTTTGAATAATATTTTCGCTATTCAGTAATCAATATTATCGCATAGGGCTGATCACATTGTACAGACAAAGATAACATAAGATCCTAATTGATAAATAACATGTTTTATTTTTTTGTTATTATTGTTTTTTTAATAACTGTGCTGTTTGTTTTAAAATTGTGTCAAATTTTTCTTTGTTTTTAAATCGCATAGTTACGAGTGGTTTGGTTTTTTTGTTTGGTAGGGAATTCTTTAGGAAGGTATTTGTAACTAATTTTTTTTTATCAGTCAAGAATTTTAAGGGGGGAAAGTTTGATGAAAGTTAATTGATTTGTTTTTTTTTTTTTTTTTGTGTGTCCTTAGTGACCCACATTTTTTTCATCTGTGCACAAATGAAATAAATGTAGGGTGTATAAAATGTGCTAAACCATTTTTATTGCATGTTTGTCGTTAAAGAAATAAACTGAGAAATTCCCAGTTTATAAACTTTAGGATGCCAGTTTTTAAAGTAGAACAAGAGCTTTCTTCAAGCAGCACGAGGTTACAGAAGAAATTATACACAAAATTAACGCAATTGATATGAATAATCCCGAACCTGTAGAATTGCACCAATAACCAATATACAACAAGATGGAGGTAGTGAAAGGTAGCTTGGGGGAATAGAGGAGCTTGTTACCAAAATTTTTCTTTCAAGATGGTGTACATGCAAGTAATCACTGGATTTCATTTTGAATAAATGAAATAAGGAGAAGCCAATAAGATCCAAAAAGAATAATGAATATATTTTTCTAGATTGCAGATTTGTACAACCGATACAAAAGTGCACCCAGAGCACGTGAAACAATCTAATGTGCCTGTCCTCTGTTTCACACATCCGATTGCACTCGCTCTAAACCAACCCTCGTAATAGGCCAGTTCACCTTGTCAGGTAACATAATATTTTCCTTCTCCTACGAGTGAGAACATCAAACTCTCCCAGAAGGTGTACTGAAGTTTCACAGAATCTAGGCCCAATTTATTAAGATTTCAAAGCTGCAATGCCCCGATAAGACTCCGGTGAGGATTTTCACCTGTTTCTCGCTCAAACCTACAACCTTCCTAAACCTAGTCATAATCTCCCAGAAGCTCCTTGGCCTATCGCAGCCTCAGAAGTCCCTTCTGCGAATCGACCGCCGCCTCTCTGATTCCATTTTTAGTTCCCAACGGACAGTATGTCGTTCGATTCTTCAAAACGGCTGTGAGGAGAAGTATTTGAAAACCTCTCTTCGCGTTCATCTCATTTCCTTTTACGCCCACACGACTTGGCATCTAACACAGAATGACATTGTTTCGACTACCTAATTCATTGAGTTTCTTAAGACAGCTCTATACTGTGGCTTAATCAGCGCTGTTATGGCAGCTCAGTTATCTATCATAATATTTTTTCGTCAGTGTTTATTATTGTCTATATGAATACAGTATATTATCAAAACCGAAAATAATTAGGACATGTTTTAGTGCAAAATCGAATCAGTCAATGTGTGGCTTGTGTCGTGTTTATTTTGTTAATGAAGCTCAAAAATTTTATTATTGAGCTGGACTATAATTTATTTATTTGCTTTAATCGAAATTAAATAATTTTGCAGATGAATATTTCATTTCAGTTTTCTAAAAATTAACACAGAATTACTGATTTAAGAAGATTGTCGTCATAAATTTTTGAATCGTTTTTGATTGATTGCTACCATCATAATTAATTTAAAAATTTTTAGAACATTTTTTTTACAAACAAAATGTTAACGTCCATTAAGAAGAATTAAAATGAAATAAAAGAAAGGTATAACACAAGAAACAGTTTTCGAAGAGTAGAAATAAGTTCAAAGGTAAGAAAGGCATAACTCTTTAACAGGTTAAAATCCTTATTCTTATTATTGAAATTAAAGTAATCTCTTTTTCTGAAATAAAATTGATGAGAAAAAGAGAAAAGCATTTAATTATTCAAAAAAAACAATATGAATCCCATTAGTTCTATGCCGATATCTTGAATTCCGTTCATAAATTTTTTATTACAAAGGCACACTAAATTTAATTTATATTTGACGTTCTTTAATCAAAAGTATCCTACGAATTGAAAATGTTATTTCACGATGTTTGTTGAAGAATGACGAATGGTAGAATTTGGGATGAAAGTTTGGCTTCCTTTAATGTCTACAGATTTTTTAATCTAAACATAACAAACAAAGATTACGTGTTCAGCATACTACTGAAATGAAAATTTTTATCGGTGATGATCGGTGATTAATGAATTTGCCTTATTTCATTGATGGTTTAACCACGACTTGATTATTTTTCATTATAATGTTTTTCAGATTTCATTCGAAGAAATCA